GTAAGTCGTCGATTTTGTTGCAGCCCTTGGCTGCCCCTCAACTGTTCTGAAGGCCTTGCAGTACCGACAGAGTATGACCGCAACGACAAAGAACCTATTAGCGGCAGCCGCTCCCGGTGCTTCTGAGCAAGGTTTCCATCCTGTGCAAGGTCAACAACAGTTTGCTGGTCCCCAGAACAATCGAATCGGCCAGAACTTGGCTCAAGCCAAACCTATGGGCGGCATGGCGCCACCTGCGTCACCAGCTATGGGTGGTCCCATGAAAGATCAGAAGGATGTCAAACCCATCATGATCAATAACCCTTCAGGTATACCAGAAGGGTCACCTCACAACGCTCCTGCTGCTCCAGGCCACCCGACTCCCAATACCATCAACTCAAGTATCATGCAGTCTCCTGCTCCGAACGGGACACCTTCAGTACCTCCGGCTTCGAATCCCCCGGGCGTTGGCAACCACAACAGATTCAGCAGCAATTCGGTCTTACCTCCACCCAGCGTGTCCCTCCCTCTGCCCCGTCTTTTCATGACCCTCAGTCCAACCCTCCTATCATACCACCCAACTTCCCCTCCATGCCTATGAATACCCCACAAATGAAACCGGGCAATTCGATCCCAGTCTATCTGATCTACCAACTCACCTCATACAGACTTCGTGCAATCTATGACAGCAGCATTGGAACAGCGTGTTTCAGATGTCGCGTTGTTTGTGACCTCTGTTATAATGTTTTTTACGTCTTGATCTGACCTTGCTTGTCATAGACCTCTAACGCCGCCATGAATGCTGCAATTGCTTTAACTCCAATAGGTTCCTTGGCATTGACGTGCCGATGTGTGAGAGAGAATGACTAGGGTAGGTCGCTCTTCCATCAACATGTGGCCTTCAGTCGTGTTTTTGTTTACGTGCCTCTCATTAGTTCACTGGTATTATTACGCGCAAGACTGAATCAATGTCGTCACTCGCAGTAATGTTACGTCTAGTATACACGAGGTAAGCAGTACATCTCATCCTATATATTAGGGTGACATTCACACTGTTTTCTCCGTCACCTTACCATCGAGCATCTAGAACATGTCTCATCTCTCAGCGCGGGTGTCAGATGATGATTCAGATAGCGACTGGGACGAAGGCAATACGGACCAGGTCTCGAATAACATCCCAGGGCCTAATGCCTCCAAGGGAGAGTTAATGGAAGTATGTAGCCACCGTCTTCATCGCATAACGCTGTCTAACGTACACTCTCCTCAATACAGGCACTCAAAGCGCTGCAGCTTGAGGTTCAGCAGCTGCGTGCAGACAATCGTGCCCTTAAGGAGAAAAATAAGGTTCTGGTTTCCGAGAAGCCTAAACGGAAACGGCGTGTAGAAGCACCGGATGCCCTCGTCGCCCATGAGCAAACTATCTCGTTGTATGCCCGCAAATATGGCATGACAGTGGAGATGTTCCCAGACAGCGAGCTTCTCATCAAGAAGCGCCCCGATTCACCTACACCTTTTAATAGTGCTGATCGTTACAAGACGTCGGCAACTCAAGAGTCTGCTTTCTTAGATGAACTCTATGCACATTTCCCTGAACGCATCCATGAAACGGTAATGGGTAGCGAGTACTTCAAAGACCTCGTATGTCAATTTTGCTTTTCATTCTAGCCACTACCTAATGTATTTGGTTGTTACAGGTAAATAAGTGCATCGCCGATGCTCGTTCTAACGAAATCAAGAAATTGCGTGGCGTTGCTGGAGACATATTCGAGCTTCCGGGAAAATACTTTGCCAATGCCAGTTATGACAGAGCTGCGATTGTCGACATTCAGAAGATGTTTGGAGTTTCCGGCAAGACTCAGACTTACAAGATTTTTCCGCCTCTCTTGTTCCCAAGTCTCCAAGAAGACACAACCCTCAAGACCGTTTTCGGCAACTGGACACTTTTTGCAAAGGTGCGCTATCATTCTCTCATAATTGTCCTGCTGCTCACTAGTACTCTACTGATACTGGCATATCTAGATCCTGAGGGCCTCACTCTATGGCGTCACCTCGCTTCATCAAGAGCCTTGTGGTGGATCGAAGACTAACGCTCGGAAGTGGAGTTTGCAACAAGTCACACCAGGGTCCATTGCATGGGCTGCGGTTATTGTAAGTCATTTTGATGACATTGAATCGTTCTACTACTCATACACTACTGCAACACAGGTCATTTTTCTGCTCTCGCCAGACACAGAGTTTCCAGGTTCGGGAGTTGGCAAGTCGTCAACTATCAACTACAAGGACCTCTTCTTTCAATACAAGAAGTTGCTAATTACGAAGTGGGAGACAAAACGTATCAAAACCATCGTGACTAACATCAATCGCTACGTTTTCGGTGCTGCAAAGTTGTCTACATCGATGGATCCTGCTGGTGCCGAAGATTTTTCAGAGGAGATCAACCGCGCCATGCTAGCACTTGACATGGACACTGATAGCGAAGAAGACACTCCAGTGACTCCACCGGTCTTGTCGGCACTCTCAGTATTACCCTCGGCAATATCAGCCTTACCAGCTCCTTCATTGGCGCCTGGACCTGAAGGTTCAAATCTCGTCACTCAGCCAGTCACACATCCAGACGAATCAGTATCTAGGGCTGTCATTCGCGCTAATGATTCGAATACAAGTGTCAATGCAGTAGCTAACAATGCAGATGAAGCTGATGATGATAGGACGGAATCGGGTGGAGGACAAGCAAAGGCCAAGAATACTAGGGGGAGGAAGGTTGTAGCGACGCAGGGTCCTACTCGTCGTGGACGTTCTCGTAAAGTCTAAGTGATATAATACATGATAGCTAGCTAATACCCTTGCTGTTCTCTGTCAAATCACTCAGCGTCAATACACATCTTGTCATTCTGCAGCTCAAAAGAGCGGGTGGACTGATCTTGGAGCTGTTCGGACTGCTAACCATTCCTAGTCTCAATGGCAAACAAAATTGTCGCCAAACAAGAGTCTTCGCAATAGAAGGTTTGTGCGGGTAGTGTGGCGTGCCGCCTGACACACACACGAGGCCTTGCCACCAGAGGCGAGCCATGACAGTGCAAGATATTGGTGAAACAATAAGGCTAGTCTCCATGAACCATTTCGCGGTTGCTGCATGGATACAAATAGAGTCAGCCTTAAGTGCAATAGGATTGATGTGGATACCTCACCCTGGACAATACGTTCAGCTGATTCCTTTTCGCAAGTGGACCCAGGCGACCCTTCTCCTGTGAGACCAACTCTGGGACCTTGGCGCAGATTGCATCCAGATAACAGAGCGCTGTCTGTAGAACGCTGCCTGACGTGCGAGAACAACGAAGAACCTCGTGAACAAACCCTTTCATGGGCATAACGTTGCAATGCGGGGGCTGATTGCTCGAACCAAACGTCAGGGGGGTGGGCATGGGAGATGGTTGTGTCTGAATCATCAGAGATTGTAATATAGCCAGGAGAGGGGAGCTGAGTAAAGTTTGAACGTACCAACTAAACCAGATACATATTTTGATTTCTGGGAGTCGTCCGCCGACATTCTTGGGGATAAAATTGAGGAATCCGAGTCACAGATTATCCTACAGCTGCTTGATCTGAATCGCGGGTAAGTGATGCTTACATAACAATCATTTATTATTCATTGTAAAGTTTTCACACCGGTTTACATCTCTTACAACAACCACATTGTCAGTGTGACTGTAACGTCGCTTAGACTTAGACTTGTCGTCGCTCTGCTCGGACTTTCCGTCGATTCCTCTCTTGACTGAATCCCTCTTCCCCTCCATTAATAACCTCCACACAAGTCAATGTTACCAGTGATTTGACGTCGAGCACATGGCAAACGGTGTGCAGTCTTTTTTTGGGGCGACAATTATTGAAAAGTTCTCATTGTCTAGTGACCTTATGCCTTTCGTTGGTCAATGGTACAGACATTCTGAACCATCCATTGACAGTGTGTCCAACGAATAATCGCAGTTACAGGTCAGTCTTTTTATTATATTGATACTTGATACTTTTCGCTAATGTTTTAATGCCAACCCAGACTGCACCGTCGTGGCCCAATTCCCAATGGTGTCCGCGCTACTACTGGTATGTAGAATATCTAATTTGGTGTGCTGAAGCTTATTACTGTCAAGGTCTTCTCACATCGCACAGCGACCACCAAACCGTTACCCTTCCCATGCCACACCCCACCCACACGCAAGGCGCCACTCCCTAGACCACTGCCAAATGCCTGCGGGATACCCATAGCGCCCAACCAGCATGCCACCTCTCGGTTCCACCCAAGCGCCCTTTACCCATGTCAGGCCCCATCATCGATCGCCATTTGGCAGCGGCTAGCACACTTTGCTTGGTGGTCTCTTGTTCGTCACCAAATATCTCCCGCACAAGGGCAGGGTTGGACCGGATGATGTATGGCGACCTATTAGATGAAGGGAGAAGGTTAGTGAGAGGTATCGGCAGCAACAGAAGGATCCAGAAATGATGGACAAGCGCCCCATTCATTCAAGGGAAAGATGCAGGGTATATTAGGGAGTGGGGGATTTGGCTTCAGAGGGTTTCCATTGAGTATCCGCTCATACTTGTCTTGTAATTATGGTAGAATATGACAATTCAAGATCTCTATTAAAATATCAAAACCAAGATTTCAGGTCTTCATTTCGCATTACAAGCTGCTACTTGACATTGCAATCGATTTCAACGCCATGCGGCTTTCCAGCCAAATCACTCATTACAATGACTAAGATTGATTGCCACGTGTTGCAACGGCAATTGCCATCGTAATTGCAACCGTCGTTACAGTGTGATTGCAATCGTGACTCTATTATTGAAAGGACTTTCAATCTACGCTCGGTCTTTGAATATTGAAATGCGTGACAAGGCACTTAAACCCAAATTAGGAATTTGCGACAAACGTTATTCTATTCAGTTCTCATCAATTAGAAAGCTCAAAGACAGCCCCAAGAGCGCTAAAAACGGGGTGATCAGGCGCAATACGTACAAACTACGTGGCAACAGTGGAATCCGAGTAATGCTCCATTATTCCTCGGCTGTGCAAGCGCTGAGACAGCAAGTTTGAAGTTAACGTTCATCGTACCTTCGAAACATTCGTGTGACCGGCCGCCATACCATCGCTTTGAGTGGGGGCGTGACACGCCGGAACCGCCCTAATAGCATCCCCAATTGAAATTTTCTGCCAGCGAAGCACTTTGTTCTTCCGAATTCTGCTCTTCTCGTCGGATGCATTCTCAGACGACGCTTCGAGGGCTCACGTGTCTTGTCAATGTCACTCTTGTCAGGGTCGGTCGTCGTATTCTTACACTTGTGTGTGCTCCTGGTAGGTTCGCCTCGGTCGCACAGTAGAGACTCGGTATGTCCCCACACACTAGAAAATCACACGTGGACTCAGGGAGGGTTGGTGACAACCCGTCCACGCCGGTCCACTCCCGGCCCGCTCGAATGGAATCGAAAGTCAGTTCCTCGTCAAGATCTGCCAAACGAAGTGCCACCGTTAATTAAGAATTCAGCAAACTGAAACAATATTCAACGTCCATGGGCTCCGGTAGTTATGCAGGGCCGAGGCCAGCGTTTTTCCCGATTCCCAGCCAGTCTTGCTTGACAGCGTGTGCAAGTTGGTGGTCTCCGCCGTAGAAGTTCTGCGATGAAGGACCTGGCGAGACGAATTTTTGTCGGCTCGATTGTCTTGGGATGACCTGAATTTGAATCTTCACGGATGCGGGTTTAAAGAGGAGAAATACCATAAATTTGGACGAGCGTTGATAGGACTAACTGTTGAGGCTAGGATGTTCCAGATAACTGGTCACGCACGGTCGGTAGTTGATTGCATGGACGATCACATATATGAATCGTCAACCATAATTTCACTGTAACATATTATATCTTACCAACGTCGAGACGCAAGCTATAAGATTTTGATTTTCTTTGACGTGCGGGTGAATATAATGATGTTTTGCTTTCATGCCACGTCCACCATTACTGAACATCAAGCTCTAAATTGAAACTGGACTTATTACCTTGTGCCTGTAGCGACGCTCGGGTCGTCATACGGACCGAGGCTCGCGTTTATGCTCGCTGGAAATGAGCCACGAGAACCAATGGTCCGATGAAAGAAATAGTAGCCCTGGAAGACGAAGGACAGATGAGTTTGCAGTGCTCCTGACAATAATTTTAAATCTGATCTTACCCAGCAGAGGAACATCCGAGCCAATGGGTCACCTGGTAACGCGAACCTCCCCTATTTTTACCCATGACCAGGAAGAGCCAGGAGGTTCCGGGCTTACGGTCGTTCACGGTAATTAATGTGGGCACAAAACTTTTAGGTGCATGCAGGCACAGCTGGCCAATTGTGCAGGTTTTTCGCTGCCTGTGTCTAAAATTTCATCCCTGTCTCCGTAGGTAAGTGTTTTGAAATTCTCGGGCCATCCGCACGAAGGTGAGTTCGTTCTGCTATTGGGCAGCACAGATTATTGCAAGTTTATGCGGCTCGTTGGCCTTCAAGTTCCCCGCATTTTTTACTGCGATGCAATAGTATTGTCAGCCGCCGCAAGTAAATATTTTGGTGACTGATCGTTTCATCGGATATGATAATTTCCAATCCCAAGGTTGTCGACCAAGGACTCGAACGTTTGGAACTGTCAAAAACGCGGGGTCATTTATCGCTACCCCTGCATGCTCGACATGTCCCAGCATTTCCCCCGACTGCCGCACTGCATCGGAATGACGTACCGACCGCCATCTACGGGCGGATATCCTGGAGGAATAACCAACGCAATAACCAACACTTCAGAAACAGGGGAAACACTGTGAAATGTGGTGCAGGAAGTGTAAGTAGTTGCCGGGAATGAGCGAGCGCTGATCTCAAGGAGGGAGAATACTTTGGTTCAGGCAAGGACTAGGCTCGAATGAAATCCCTTTCATGGGAATTTCAAACTTGGTCAGACTTGCGACAATGAAGTGCGAAGGTTTAACCCCTTTTTACTAGTTGGCTCCAATGATTCTACTTAGGATGACCGGCACGGGTCTCTCAGGCTGGCTTACTCCGACACTACGGATTTACAATTTGTATGGCTTGCCTGGAAAGCTCCATGGCGTAGCTGGTAGCTTTGTGCAGAGCGGTGCCAAATTGCCAATAAACGACCACTGGTGTGAAGTATACGGTCAATTTGAATTATTCACCACATGGTTCCAAGGTCGTCGTCGTCTTCATCGTCATCGTCTGGTGGTGGATCGTGAGTTCATGTGTTGCTTATCTTGGGCTCAATTCTTCAAAGCATACCGATATAGCATCGTGATCTATGTTACGACTACTGGTTACGACGAAAATAAGCCTTTCAGAGGTTGAAACTTCACTGGTGGAGATCTCCGATTCCGGTGCGCTCAGGCGCACACGGATTACTTTACTGGTGAATGTATTGCATTAATAGCGACTCCACGGTGAATTCATTGGTCTTGCTGCAATGCTAGAGGTCGACTATCCCCACGAGCGACTTCACTACACCACAGAGGTACGATGCGATCCTATACATCACGGACTTCTCTCCGCAACCGAGGCAGTCGAGGCCTGTCATCTCCGCTACACGAGCACCGTGACAATGAACCCAGTAACAGAGATCTGCGGTGCAATCGTGCAATGTACAGCCGCTGATGCTACGGCCTCCCTTCCCAGAAGTGAAGGCATCGCAATCGTGATTGCGACATGTCCACTTGAGAGGTATCTACGTTATCAACCCACTGCCACCATGGTCGCTCGCATACCCTTGTACCAGTGCTTGTGACCTGAATATCTAATTCGGACAAGAGACCCGTTGATTTCGAATTTTCTACGATAACGGTCCATGATCCACGTATATAGATGCCTTCATTTATTTTTCATAGATCAATTTCTCCGTTCACTGCAACGTTGTACGTCCGTATTGCGAATATACAGTGATTTTGACAGTAGCAGATTCAATGTCGGACCCAGTGTTTCTTTTCCCACCCACGTTTCGAGGGTCATTTGAAGCGTACGTTTTGATGTCACTCCAGCAGATTCAAAATTTCCATAGACATGAAACTCAGCGAACTGTTCCTCACCCAGGCTCCTTCAAGATTTAGGGAAGGAAGTAACCACAGCTCGAAACCGAGTTCACAGCCGCAGAATGCCACGATTTATGGATCCAAGCCATTTCTAGCACAACTTTGATCCGGAAGCTGGACGTCTAGAACACGAGTCGTGCTCTCCATGCGGTGCTTACTGCGTATCGACACTCACGCTCGACGCATGAGAAGGCCTTGTTGCCACAACTCGCAACAACACTGTTTCATGTGAACATCATCATGCACATCTCCATCTCCTCAGTGCGCAAGGCCTTCCGACCGAGCGGCAAACAGCTGTCATGCTCTTCTTTCGAGATGATTCAAGCTGTTATCTCATTTGAAACTCTACCAGAAGATATACTCTACCATATTTTCAGCTACCTATCAGTAACGGAAATCGTGAGGTTGCAAAGGGTATGATTTTGTTTTGCATTCTGTCACCGGTGCCTTCGATTGACAGAAATATACAAGGTGTCCAAGACACTCAAGTCAGCCGTGCTTCGCGACGCAACCTGGTTTAATATATACCGTACTTCCTCACGTCCACGTATTCCCGCATTATTGTCCACCAACTCCGCAAGCTATCTTCAGTCGTGGCTAACTTCAAGTGAGAAATTCGATCGCTGGTGCTCAAATGGCCCACGAGATGGGAAGATGACCATGGACAATAAGAGATATAATTCCCGAGCACTGAATTTCGGCAACAAAGAACTTCCACTCCCTGGAGTCGCTCGCAGAAGAACGGTCGAGCTCTATCCAGATGCCACCGGGAATCACACCCCTTACGGCCTCATTTTCAGCCGTTGGTTGATTGTCACCAGCATCTGCTCTTCAGAGGCACCTGTCAGGTGCTTTGACCTGGATGCAGACAAAGGAAATGACCCAGCCGAAGAAGCACCCCTGCAGCTCTATGCTAAACATTCGACTGTGTTGTACACGACTTCCGGCATGATTTTTGACCTCCGTTGCGTCCAAAGCACGCGAACGAACGGAGAACGTGTTGCATTTGTAATTTTGGTGGAGAATTTTTTTGCATTGTCTGTCGCTCCTTTCTGTTCCATGTCGGTGAAATTTAATGTTGGTTTTGATACAGGAAGGTGTTTCAATTCCATATCAGCTCGAAAGGCTCTCAGCCACACGTCGTACTTCAAGATGTTTTTACAAGGCATGACATGCATTTATCTAGTCTTCGAGAGGTTTCGCTTGGTCCGAGGTTAATTGCCATCAAGTACGCGCGAGGTGGTACTTTCAGGAGCCCAGGACCCAAGAGTGACCACATTCTCTGCCTTGACATTGAAACGTTCACAACATTTACTGTGACGCACGATGTAATGCACATGTCCATGCCTGTGCGCAGTTTAGCTGATTACTAGTCTGTCAGGATGCTGCTTCACCGAGCCCAGTCGAGTCTATGCTTTCGTGCACCTCGCACTTGCTGCTGCTGCGCGCGTCATCGACTCACACGTTGGTCGAAGCATATGAAATCCCTCCATCCCAACCCAACGAGTGCAAACTGCAGGGTTCGGCTAACGATCTTAATCCAAATACGTCTGCAGGTCGCCTGCAACGTAGCCACGAGGGTGTCGTCGGTAGCAAGCTATCCAATGTAGTCATTGTTCACGACCCCATGTTTCCTTATTCTCGTTCTGCCGCCAGTGGCGAAGGCAGCTATCACGATGACGAAGGCGTCACAATCACCGCCTCGTTCCACAATCGCACGGATGACCACAAAACATTCCTTGGTCTCGTGCGACTGACTTTACTACCCCGGGATAGTCTCTCCAGCGGGGGCATCGCCACTAGGATATTGGGCTCACATATACATCCTACGGATCCCTCCCCGCCTACAGTAGTCATGGACTCTTCATTCAATGGCTCAACAAAGGGCTTCGTTTTCTATCCTGAAGAAGTCACAGAAACATCATTAATACCTAGGTTCCGCGTACGACCTGCACTGAGCGTTCGTTCGCCACAACCTCCTGAAGCCGAGTTCATCTCCGTCATGCTTGGGGAGGGAACGGGGGAGAGATTGAAGAAGCGTCGGGAGATCACATCGCTGGTACGAACTACCGCAGCATCTCTACGATACACCGACTTTGCGTCCGGTGACGAGGATACCTTGGAAGAGGCACAAGCTGCTAGAAGGGCACGGGCAACAATACGCGTGGTTCCATGTCCACTTCCGGTCGATGGTATTTCGGCAAGAGATATACTGTTCGACGGCTGCACAGGTCGAATGGTTTGCAAGCGGCCCGTACGTGTCGCTCACAGATGGATGAAGAGGATCGAGGTCTGGGATATCGTTTGAGGCGCTCGATGAGCCCAAAGCATTCTAATAGGCTATAGCATGTCCCGTGTTTTCTAGACTTTATGTAGCCTCGTTTGCGCTCAGTTTATTTCGCGTTCCCTCAAATAAAATTAACGAATGTACGGTCTATGAACACGGGGAAGACAACTAGCTAACCAGTATCCCCGTCTTTTGCACCAGGTTCTGAAGGTACAGGTGTCGAGGGTTGCGGCGCTGCAGTCACGATACCTCGTAATGCAAGCTTGAACTTTTTTGGTGGATCCTCCCCAGGCTTCACCGCATTTGTTCTACCCCCCGAAGGCTCAGGCTCCTTCCGTGAGCCTAGATCAGCTCGTTTTGGCTTATTAGCCAAAAGGTCTAGTTGCTCATCATCATCATCTCTTCTCCGCTTGTCGCCAAGCCGTATCGGCAGCATCGAAAGCTTGGATGATGCCTTTGAAGGCGCGTTTGAAGGAGATGGGGCAATGGATTTAGAACGGAGTAGAGACTCCAAGAGGTTGTCCTCTTCATCCAAAGAGGACCGCCGAGGAAGTGGGGGCGGGCGTGAAGAAATTTGTCGATGAGATATTCTAGGACTGGGTGGTATGTCCGCAGCAGGTGAAAGGGGTGAGCTGCGTTGGCTGGCTGTCGTAGCGGCTTTGGGTATTGGTCCCGAGGGTACTTTGGGCGAGGGTGGGCCGATTTCTTCCTCATCTTCGTCACGATAATCCACTAGAGATTTCAAGGGCGGAGTGCGAGGAAGTGTAAGTGTTTGTGGACGAAAGCCTTTCCCAACCATAGCACCACGTCGCTTTCGTTTCAATGCAGTATGCACGGGTGATGACGAGCGCCCGCGTAAATGAGGAGAGATAAATGGAGGGTTTTCGTCATATGGATCACGACTGCCAACTTGGGGAGAGACGGAGGGCGCATGGTTATCGCTTTCTTCATCCTCAGCATTGAAATAATCTTCTTCTTCGGCATCGACATTTCGCCCCATATGTCGGGGATCTCGAAGACTCCTATGACGAGAATGAGCAACGGCCTGTACGTCAGACAATAAGTACGTACTTGACCGGTTGCGACTCCTCTTTGGGAGGAGGTTCGATGTTGATCTCCCACCGCCGAATGAAAGACATGAACCTGTGACCACTGAGTGGCGATGCGGCCAGTTGTCGTACCAATGATTCATGCTTTGTCATGCAGTAATTAATTGGGTCTTTAATATTTTCCTATACAACATAATCAGTTAAACGGACAAGGAACGAGGAAATGACGCACACGACGCATATGTTCGAAGAACTCCTGACATGAGGCACTTAGTAAACTATCTCGCCGAGACTCCTGTATCGTCAGATCCAGGATCGGTTTGAATACGTCTAGTTTCATAAGGTGAATCATGAAATTTGGGTTGTTGACCTTGAGGCATATTCGGAAAAAGCGAAAGGCAGCTGCGCTCTTCAGTCAGTATAAATACTACACAATATGAACGAGATGTACCAAGACGTAAGTGTTTGTCCCGGGCTTTTAGGAATGAGGCCATACGGGCAGAAATGTGGGAGGAAAGCATGGAAAAGTGAATGCGGAAGCCATGCTGTTGAGCAAAGTTGCATACTAAGTCGCATAAGTATAGGTAAAGGTTAGTCTTCTCGCGTGAAAGCTTCAGCACTGGCTCTGCGATCAACAACTCAGTTACAAAATATTATTCAAGCGTCAGGCAGAAACGAACCAGTCTGGGTCTTGAAATCAGGGATGTCGTGGAATGGTTTGAATAGGAGTTCTATACATCTCTTGTAGAAGTAATCGAGAAACTTCTCAGTTCCTGGGTCGTCTTTCGGACGAAGTAACTTGACGTTCAAACCAGCCTGAAACCGCTGTGAGATAGTTACAATACGTAAATCAGACAATGCTTACGGGTGTCAAATCAGGACCATCCTTGGGAGAGACATCCAGCATGGTCTTCAGGGCATCTCCGACCTGACACTGCAACGCCAAATCCCGAGTATGTGTCAATACTTTGCACATTATTCGTAAAAGCGTCTCAGCTTGCTCTCCCATCGGCCGTCCCTCCTTACTCTCCCTCTCAATAGCTGAGGCTTGCTTGGTGATGTGATTTCGAACACCATTTAAATCGTGATCGAGCAGCGCAGACATCACTTCACCCGCAATGCTGATTGTTGTTTTCGCTTCTGGGTCATTCTCTGAAAGTGAGAACGCCCACTGAACAGCGAATAGGATACCCCGGTTGACAAGGGATCGAAAGAGGGAGATACGAGCAGCAAGCGGCACATTTTTACCCATGACGCAAAGCTGCTGTATGAGCACCAATACCTCTCTACGGAGGGCCAACTCATGCTCCGAGAGATTATCTGGTGGGCCGAATGAGAAAGGCCTTGGGGTTGATGTAGAGCCATTCGTACGAGCGCCGTTGGGTTTGCCGTCAACATCCATCTCCTCGCGCTTCTCATCCTTGTCTTTCCCTCCCGTTAAAACCTCCTCGTTCACATATAGCGACAATATTTCGCGGAGAAACATGGTGTCCTGCTGGACATGGTTAATTATGTCGATTTGATTGAAGATAATGCAGGAGTTGAGGACATTAAAGGTGGAGTCGTCGAGAGCGCGCGCAAGAACGACATCTTTGAGGAACTGTAAGCGATAAGTGTGGTGGATTTTCTTCTGAATCATGATGTCCTGTATGGGAATAGGTTGGTGAAATTTAGAGGTTACGTGGAGAAACTCCCGGTAGTTCGCTTTGTGATTTGGGAACTCCGGGTCATCTTTGAGGAAGTCAGATTGAGTTTAATGCACATCGTGCAGCAATAACAAGCAACATACATTCAAGCATGCCTACAGCGCCAAAGAACACACTGTCATCGAGGATATGCTCGTATAGTCCATGATCATGAATCATTACTACTACAAAATATCGTCAACAAAAATTCGTCACGGGCGGCAGACAAACGCACATATGGTTTGCATGAGACTGCACAGTGCATGGAGATTCTCGGCGTTCTCTAAGTCCTCTGCCAGCTTGAAGACTTCTATCATCTTCGCAATATATTCCTGCTCAAAGCTTAGCGGTCCATCGTGAGGAATTTGATGATCTGACGACGGACCTCGCGCAGAATATACTCGCATATTCTCTTCCTAATCGCCTGTCCACGCACCAGTGTTTTAATGGCACGTTCAATATCGGGAATATTCCCAAGTTCTGGTTGAGGCAAGTGGCCCGAGCGGATAATCGCTGCTGTCGTAGAGTGGTCGCTTCGGGGAGATGATGAACCGCCAACACTACTTTCTCCTGGAGGCGTGTAGGTGAGATAGTGCAAGAGGCAGGGGACCAGAATAGAAGCAGCGCGGCATAGGGTCAAGGGTTGTACATACCAACAACATTCATGTGACGCTGGACCTCAATGATGAAATTCCACACCTCTGCACACCCTTCTGCGTCCTGGAAGCTCAAGGCGTAATCTGCACCGTCCGGTTCCGTCCAGACAATCAACGTATCTGGTGGTCGCGTGAGTAGGTATCAGCAGATCCTTGCAAATATATATACCAAACGGACCTTGTTGGCGTTGATAGACGTCAGTGGTGCGGATGCGAGTAGTCAGAATGAGTTTGTCGAAATGGACTTCTGAGCGAGCGATAAGGAAAGCCTGGTTGGTCTCGTTCTCGAATTGTCCATAACAAAAAGCGGTCCCTTGGTCAGCCCATTGTGAGCCAATAAGTTTGTAAACCTTTGTAGAACGTGGCAAACGACGGTCAGAGTTGGCCCTTAATGAACTCATGAAAACAAGACAGGCACGGAAGAACGAGCAAGAGCGTCGGCACTCTTGCTGGTGCGTAGCAAGTTGGTCTGCGCCAAGGTACGCCACGTTGTTGAAACGACCCATTCCTGGCATAGTTGACAAACCATACAAGGACGAGATGCAAGATGCCGACATGCAGAAGGGTGATGGATGATATATGCATGGCTCACCTTGACACGCTTAATATCAGGCTCTGTGTCTCGACTTTCCTGTGTGTCCTCGTGTGTATCAGAAGGATTCACAGCCTCGAGCATTGTCATTTCGTCAAGTTTAGGATGGTCTCCCACCCGGTGAAGGTCACCTATAAGCGAACTCCGTGGGTCATGGAGGTCAATATGATTGACAACATGATTTCCTAGTCCATCCTCCGTTCCAGAAAGCCCAGAAAAATCCAGTGAAAGAGGAGGCTGATGTGAATCCTCTTGGTGGAAAAGATGCGTAGCCTGTGATGGTAAATTATGATGTTGTCCTTCGTTGTCGCCAGACGTCGTAGACTTGGATTGACTGACAACCTCCAGGCCGCTCATGACCAATAAATTGGTTTTGTATGTTGTCCTCTCGGCGCTGTGGTATTTCCCTACAGAAATGCCAATGCCTTGCCTTGGGGAATGTTTTGGTATGAGCTCCCTTCGACCAACCAGAGCGTGCACGCCCGTGAGAACAACACCCAAAGGCGCCACGGACCTTTCCGGCTCAAGTTGCTCCCAACTCCTTCATTGCTGAGCTACCTTACTGACGAGCTTCGACTACGTTCATGACTTTTAACTCTTTTGTTGTGGTATCAAGAAGGTCCAAGCGCTCTTCTGACGATAACCCTCGGGTAGTATTAATCTGGATCATGGTGCTATGACAAAACTCTCTCAATTTGGTGCACCAGGGGCATTTAACGACACTATTCAGGATTCCTTCTCATCGATACTACTACGTGTTGCTTTGGTTCCGCACTGCATACATCTTTAAAGCTTTACGCTCAAGGCAAAGCTTGGGCAAAGCAAAACCTTTCACATCGATATCATATTACGTAAGATATGTGGTTAGCTATGCCCTCGGCGATCAGCTGTGGACCCCGCAATTGTCTCCGCTTGCTTTGGGATGAGCCAAAGCGTTGTGGTCCCTTCCCAAGTTTTGGCCACATCTACATCAGTAATCCAGTATTTGTGGTGGCACAGAATATGTCTGAGCTCTATTTAACGTCTGGTCTTTCCAGGACCCGGTCATAGCTCACATATCATCATAATACCGCCCGCACTTATCAATGGCCCTCAAACATCTGCTTGCTCGCATCTTCAAACGTTTCAAGACGTCTGGATCTGCCTCCGCATTGGATGTCGCTACTGCTGCAACGCCTGCCCCTGCATCAAATGTCTCATCCCTAATTGAACGGTCTCCGGCTACCCAAGCATTTTTTCCTATCAATGTAAACCTTCGCTTTCATGTAGTTTTGTCCCCCACTGCCGATGGCGCCCACATGTCAATCCAACAAAGTCAAGTTTTACCTACTATTGGAACAAGTTATGAAGGACATGTGCACACCGCCCAGGGCTCCGCACTTCTTCTCGAGCCTTCTCCGTCAAATTCTGCAGTTGTATCTAACATCAAAACGACTCCCACGCAGTCGACGGAGATGGTCGATATGCTTCCTGATTCTGCTCTTTCTTCCGCACAGGGACTAAATTTCTCTGGACTCGGCACGACGTGCCCTCAAGGTATGTAAACCATCGATAGCCTTGGAGAGGTGTCTTTCATCGGTGCAATACGGATGCTTACTGTTGAGTTTCCAGATGAGCAACAACCCTCGAACATGGCTGCCTTAAATCGATCTACCTCCCTGACGGGCATCACTCGAGACAGTGATATTCAATGCATAGCACCGGTTGAGGTCATGGCGCTTGTGACACCTATCCATTCTCCACTTTCTGAATTTACCGTCACGACCCCAGTTTTGGCTCGGACCATGCAGACCATCGAGAGCAAGGACATTGAGACGCCCCAAAAATGCGCTGGCGCAAAATCACTCATTTACATCGCAGGACCCTCTGTCGGACCTACCGCTGAAACTGGCGTACCGTCGATGGCCTCTACTATTCCCGATGAACCTTCCTCTCAGAAAGAACGCCTGGGCTCACAGCAATACGACTATGTGTTTCCACGTTCTCCCCTTGGCCAATCGCTATTGTCTGCTACTCACGCTTCCTCCTATAAATCATGCCTAGATCCACATCGATACGATCCTCTAATTCCACAACTTCAATGTGATCGATCATCGTCGTCTACCCCCCATGAACCACTGCGATGCCCACCTGGTCTAAAGCTTCCCGCAGATAGGAAGCCAGGAGTCCAAGCTGGGCACTTATGTGCATCATCTGTACAAATTACACAGCAGGGATCTCCCTCCGACTTATTACAGGATGTTGCCAAGCGGAACCTTGATAACGACGCATCACTACGACTTACGCGAGGCAATACCGAGCTAAACCTCGGCGATATGTTCCCAACTCTTGGACCCAGTGCCTCGAATTTTCAGTCGTCGCCGACACCTAAGGCAAAACAGGCCAGTGTGATCGTTGAGAGGATTTCGAACGATGGGAATATTGCCTATTCCATTCAGGCAGGTAGTCATAAGTACATCGCCACGGCACAGGTCGGCAGTGGAGGATTCGGTTATGTCTGGTACGCTATCAAAGACCAAACAGAGGAGGTCGCCATCAAGGTGATCGACAAGGCTGGGTTGCTTGCACAATTTGTTCACTGCACCAAAGACAAACGGCCGACTATGCAACAACTGCTCGAAGGCTCTGAGGCAGCAGCGGCAGCTATCAGTGCTGAATATGAAACATTCAAGCGCGTCACCGAAGAGCAATCCCCATTTTTGACTCCCTTGTTGCATGCCTTTGAGGACGAAGATAATTTTTACTTTGTGATGGTGCGTTTTCCTGATCATTATATCATTATCTGACTTTATGCTGAACGTGCCCCAGAGATTCTATCCTCAGACTCTTCGCACTAGGGCAAAATTCGGATTCATGCATTGGCAGTTGCGTCTTGTTGCTGCTGAGCTTGTAAGTATCTCCTATGTTCAGTATGCGAGTTTGATCTAATGTGCTTCGCTACCCCTGAAGCTTCTCGCCCTCCAGCATCTTCACAAGCTGCGCGTCGTACATATGGACTTGAAGATGGAAAACGTGCTTGTAACTCCGTCCGGCCACGTATGCATTGCAGATTTTGGCAATGCTGAAGTCCTGGATCGCAAACTGACCTATCAGCAATTTCACGACGAGCACATGCACGGTGTATCGGGTACCAAGGGTTACCTTCCTCCAGAGCGAGTCGAGGGAAACCAGCGATATAACTTCAAGACGGATACCTGGACTTATGGTACCATTTTACTGGAGCTTTTACTAATAAACGGCGGGGTGAGCAATCCTTTGTGGTCCCAGATCGCCCTGGCATTAAAGCTTACTCAACTCCCAAGCACTGGTACTCTATATATCATTTTAGCGACGGAACACATAAATTTGGCAATGACCACAAGATACCCGGGGGTTACAGCCGGCTGACCTTCATAAGACCGAACGATGAAATAGATCTCATCCAAGATAAGGATGCCAAGGATCTTCTTTATTCTGTATGTCTCTACATCTTTGAGTCGTCGAGGTTGACTTAACCCCTCATCAGATTTTCTTTCCGAAACACCATGCCATGAGACCCGAGTGGGAGTCAATTCGCAGTCACCCATTCTTCACCTGTATTGACTGGCAGAAGTTAGAGAATCGGGGATATGATTGTAAGTCTACGATCAAACTCTACTGGCGTGCACTTACTCACGTCCAACTAGCCATGTTCAAAGCTTGCCTGGGCAACACACCGCTCCAATCTGTCGACTCTGGCAAGATTGCCATTGAATGCTCTCACCCTCGGCTCCCAGACTTCAAGAAAGCTGTGCACGAACAAGCCAACGATACATTCTCTCTTGGGCGAATGCACGTGAAATACGAGTGCCCGAATGAATTGGCGCATGATGCTATGCATGGAGCAACTTGCAGGGCTCCAGGGACTCGGGTACCCCGGAGGCATGTTTGTAAATGTGACTTGCCTGCCGATTGGGAGAAGGGTCGATGAGGCATCTGAGCATGTCGCCTTGTAAATTTGTATATTCCAACTATTTATGATCGCTGTGCCTGTAATATTTAGTACACATACTCACGACAACTCACGAACGTCAATGAATGTGTACTTGAATTGAATTGAACGCGTAGGGGTCGCTGACATAATTCATTTTCCGAAATTCCTCTTGCTAATTGGTCCAGTGAAACGTTCGAATCTTTTCTGTTCTCTTCTTCTTGCACAAAATGAACAGGTCTACTACAATAATGACCGTTGCAAGCGTCGCAGTTGGCGGCGTCCTCGCATACGCCGTGTACTTCGACTACAAGCGGAGAACCGACGCCAACTTCCGCAAACAACTCCGTAAGTTTTCACCAACAGAATGTTCTGTCACGCAGCTGACATAGGGTTTCAGGGAAAGAAAAAAAGCGTGTCAAGCAGAGCCAGAGCCAGACACCGTCTGAATCTGCTCAGACTGCAACCGAAGGAGTGGACGCAAATGACTTGCGGAGCGCGTTGGAGAGCGTACGCAACGAAGAAGTACCAGCTGGGCCAGAGGAAAAGGAACAGTATTTCATGAAGCAAGTTGGGATAGGTGAACAACTATGTGCGAAAGGTACTTAGCAGTTTCGTTTTTGGAAGGATTTCTGCTTGATTGGTTTTCAAGGTCCTGTCTACCACCTTTCTGCTGCGATGTGTTTCTACCGCGCGTTGCGTGTGTATCCATCACCCGTGGAGCTGGTTGTGATTTACGAGAAGACTGTTCCTCCACCCGTTTTCCAGGTACGTCTGTTTTATGATGACTATTGGTTGTGCTGACCTGGCCATCATAGCTTGTGATGGAACTTACTAATTTGGACGTGAGTAATGATCATTCACTGGCAGAGGGGAAAATTGGACCGCTGTCTGATGGGGAGGACGAATCGAGTCCCTCACGGGGCCCACCCTCGGAAACATCCTCACAAGAGTGGGTCAAGGTCACAGACTAGGGCAGTCAAACGCCTACCCTGTGACTATGACTGCGAAACACGGATATGCTAGCCCTGTAGCCTGCACCCTAACCCCTAATCTGTCAAATTGCATATCTATCTCTTTCTTGGTTGTTTCAATGGTATCTGATTATGAATTTTGTTTCATGTTTTGGTCGTCACCGTTAGGTCAAAGACCGAGTTGAAGGTACGCTGCTTGGGTGCGTGTTTCTTATGCAGGACTGAAGTTGGGATAGGATATTATACGTTCTTCCCGCCGAAGGCAATGAATGTCGCAGTTGAGACTATCAATGTCCCTGACGGCAAGGGCGCAACCATGTCGAAGAAAGTCCTTGTCGTGACAAAAGACTTCGAGGCTGGTGAAGTCATCTACCAGGTAAATCGCCTGTCCCATGTCTCCTGGATTCTTCCTGATCTCCTCCACAGGAAGATCCAATCGTGGCCGTTCTCGATGCCGATCTTCAAGGGAAAGGCACACACTGTAGCTATTGCTTGCGCCAGATCCAAAACGATCCCATCCGTCCAGAATCGGATCGCCTCCACAGTGTTTACTGCTCATCTGATTGCCAGACCCAACACAACGCGCATTCGCAGACTCTGCTCTTCACGCTCGAGTCGCCTTTACCTGCTGCCATAGCGCCCGAAATGAAAGGCGCGCAACGTGAGGAGCGAGAAAATGCCCAAAAAGCGTTCGTCGAGTATCTCATACAGACCAAAAGGGCTGCACCAGAGCTTGTGGCGCGATTCGTTGCGCGACAGGTCAGCGCGGAGACTGCTAAGATGTTACCCCGCGGAATATTGCCTGGCGTCGCTTCCGAGCCGGTGCTGACAGATGGCGGAGAGTACTCGCTGTACGATCACCTCGAGCGTCTAAGATATCTCGAGGTGAATCCCGCAGATCACGAGACTCGCGTCTTGAAGGATGTGTTGCAGACTGCGCTCCCCGGACTTGAACAATTCCTTACGGAGGATAGACATGCAACCTTTATCGGGAAGATGTCGTATAACTCGTATGGGGTATACTTCGGTGAAGGAAGGGAGGATAAGGTGAATTTATTTTGCATTTTGAGAATGCTATGTTCTTACATCACGATGTAGCCTGACACAGCTGCTCGCCCTGAGAACGCCGAGAAAACACGCACCCCCTGCGGTACCTCTAAGCAGATCGGCACGGGTTTCTACGCAGTATCATCCTATGTGAGTTCCTAGTTCTTCGATCCATCTTTTCTCATTACATCGACCCCCAGATCTCGCATAATTGCGCACCCTCCGCTAAGCCCGTCTTCCCAACTGGCACTGCACAGCTGCAACTTATGGCCACTCGTGCACTTCAAAAAGGCGATGAGATCACTGTCGCGTATGTGGACGTATTGCAGCACTCTGAGGAGACACCCGAGGTAGCACGCCGGCGTCGTCGCATGGAGCTCGCGAGGGGATGGCGGTTTGCGTGCTCTTGCAAGCGGTGTGCTGAGGAAGGATTGGAAGGTGAGATTGAGGAAGGAGGAGATGAGAGCAAGGTGGAGGACGTTGTGACCAGGGTCGAGGGGTCATAAGTGGATATGGAGATTTTGGTGCGTAATGCGGCGACTCGGGGGCTGGTGGATCAGCAGATTCAAAATGGATTTATTGGCTCGTTAATGACTGCATGCATGGACCTTTTCATTAGCATATTATTCCCTACTCTCCACCATCATGCGCCGTCGTCGGCGATATTGCTCTGTTCTGCGTCTGATATGGGAGGTACCCATGAGTTTTGTGCGCATGAATTATTACTGGTACAGCATCTGATATTTCAATGGGTTGCTAGAATACAGGTACATTCGGAATTGTTCTGCTCATCGTAGATCCATCTATAAGCTCGGAAAATGATTATTATTGCTTATTGTTTGACTTCTGCGAATCAGCCCTCCTTCGTTTGTATTACTTCCACGATGTCTACATTCATTATACATCGCTTTCGCTCCTCACTGTCACGACGCGCCTTACATACGACTGCAATTCGGCATGTTGACCGTCCAACGGTGTTCACAAACATGCTTGCAGGGGATATTCCACCCCCCGTGCAAGTTAATTCCATAACATCGGCAGGTATCCAGCTAGCAGACGGGCTTATCCTTCCATCTGCATGCATCTTCCTGGACGGTAAGGTTTTTTTGTGGAACGTTCCCTCGCATCTTTGGAATGGCTGGGGTCGCGAGCATTTGAGTGTATTTGAGACTGCTGTCCCAAAACCAGGTGTGTTCGGAGACTTCCAATTTACTGACCGGGCAGGACTGAACACGAAGTAGAAATATTGGTGTTTGGCACTGGGAGACGGATGGAGCTTCCACCTCCGAGTATAAGAGGCTACCTGAAAGAAATGGGAATACAACTTGACATTATGGATACAGTGAGGTGTCTACTGCCTATACGCTGCGAATGTAGTGCTAATCTCAATGATTCCTCCTACTTCCAGAGAAATGCGTGCTCGACGTATAACTTGCTCGCGGAAGAGGGCCGACGGGTAGCTGCTGCATTGCTCCCATACACCCCGCGCCCATGGCAGTCATAATGCTGGCTGCAGTAATGTGATTTGACTCTTGTCCTATGCTCTTCGTAGTATATCTTTGCAATATAATATCCAGAACGTCACGCGGCGTAAGATGACTATTCAGATAACGCCTTGCGTTTGCCTTTGTTCACGGGAGGCTCTTCCTCTTCGTCATCGAGGAGAGAAGGCTGCGTGACTTCGACTGGCATCAAATTGCCTGGTAGAGACATCAAGATCAAGTATTAGCGGGACAATGAATCTCAGGGTTCGCATAGCACACTCACCTTCATCTCTAAATTGAAAATATAGTACCTCCCAGTTTGTTAAGAGGCCTCTGACAGCCTTGTTTGACTCGAGGGCCTCATAAGTCACCCCTGACCTAGTCTTCTCCTTCTCTTTTACCGCACGCGCCAGCTCAAAGTCGCTTGTGCTTTGAACATGAGGGAAGCTGTCATCCTCAGTTGCGACGCGAGATGTGAGCGCAGAAAGTGCCTCATCCTTAAGAAATGCAATCGTTGCGGTTTGGGGGACTGTTAGGAATATCGTGACTTGGTGTGTTTTGGCCAAAATTTGGTAGGCTTTTGGGGCTGTTCTTGGAGGCTGGCAACATCGTACAGCATCAGCAGGTTATACCACGTTAACAGTTGTAACGCGGACTCACCATCTTCCTTGGCTGTGCAAGTACGGTGCAGGAGAGAGTAAGCTTCTGCAGACCTAAAACGGAAAACTGAAAAACTCCGCGTGATCAAGAAAGGCAATCGTCCACATCAAGTCCACATTCCGAAGTTGACCGTTCTCAACGACAATGAGCGGCTTTCGCGACAGCGCCACAGGCAGTCAGCCCTACAAGGACCCAACACCACTCCCGGACTCTGTTCCGCGCACCCAGGAGCTCGGTGTAACCAGTGCCCCGCTGAAGTCCGCTGCATTTTTCATTGGCGCTTACTGCAAAGAGTATAATGGTGCGTTGGAATCAAATTATATGGGGAGGGATGTTGATGAGATGTGTATTGGTAGAGGATTTTATGCTTTGCAAAAACGAGGGCCGGGGAGACCCAGGACAATGTCTGAAGGAGGGCAGGCGTGTTACGCGGTGTGCAACCGACTTGTGCGTATCATTCACTGTTTGTTCATTCACTTCTAAGAAGACCGTCAGGATTAACAAGATGCGGGAAAACTGCCTTGAGCAGTTTGACGCGCACTGGAACTGCCTGGAGTTGAACAATCAGGTGTGTAGAGTCTCACAGCTAGATTGGTGGCAATTCTTACATTTCCCCCTCGTTTCTTAGGAGTATTATGCATGTAGAAAACCCGAGCGCACCTTGAACAAGTGCATGTTTGAAAAACTCGTACGTGTCTTGTTCATGTCACAATTGCTGCCTTTGTGTTGACGTCCGGTTACTCGTCAGGGTCTGACCAAGACGATACCTGGCACACCAGTGGGGAAGAAGCAGATACATGAGGTAGAGAAACCGATATATACCACAGTGCAGCGGTGAGGGCTCTTCCGGCATTTATTAGACTACCTGCGGAGCCCTGGGTTGATTGTCCGTGCTGTTATGGATTAACGGTGCTTCCTTTCCTCGGAATTTTTGTGCAAGAAGCTTTGAGAAACAATCCTCAGTAAAATCATGAAAGTGCCAGCTCGTGACCACCTGTTGTATACATACGAGTTTGATTATTGAGAGATGTAAAATGAGCGCCCCTTGCACGCGTCCGAATACGAATGTTAATGATCTCCTTCTCGTTCCGCTATGTCCCTTCAGCGGCGCGCAGACTTTACACAACCGCATCAGGCGCAAGCTCGGTCATAACACCCACACATTCTATATACCTCAGCACGTCAACCAATCCTTATTTCAATCTCTCGTTGGAAGACTGGTGGGCTGTTTACTACTTGGTACATGCTAATCTGACTGTTCACTTGCGCTCGAACTGGGAATCTGACGATGATGAATGATGCTGGCTTGACCCTTACATGGATGCATATCTAGGTTGTTCAGACACGCGCCTCAGAAGGAGCCATTACTCCTGCTGTATAGAGATGCACCGTGTGTCGTCATAGGACGCAACCAAAACCCATGGAAGGAGGTCAATCTCCGTGCAGCCCGTGCGCAAGGCATTCCGTGGGTACGTAGGCGCAGTGGCGGCGGGACAGTGTACCATGTATGTCTCCATTACCATACAGTCTATTCTGGCCATAATAAAAACTGCGCGCTAACTTACTCTAACTTTCCGCAGGACCTTGGGAACACGAACTTCTCCATCCACGTCCCACGCACGACTTTTGACCGAGGCGCTACTGCACAGGTCGTTCTCCGGGCCGTGCGCGCGCTCGGCATCGATGCAGGTGTAAATGAGCGGAATGATATTTGTGTGGGAGGTGAGAAGGCGTCGGGCTCGGCGTACAAAATCGTGAGCGGGCGTGCGTACCACCACGGGACGATGTTGATTACCACGAGACTTGAGACGCTGGGAGATTTGTTGAGGGTAGATAAGGTTCGTTTTTATGTCCTAACGATATTGCTTTCTTTGTTTCGGCGCAAGGAGCTTTTTTGCTGATTGGTATGTTGGCGTGCAATAGGACACAATGATTACGAAGGGTGTCGCGTCTGTGCGTTCGCCAGTGTGCAACCTCGCTCAATTCAGTAAAAAAGTTAGCCACGAGATGTTCGTGAATGCTGTCGTGGACTCGTTCAAAGCCGAATATGGCGTTCACGAGGAGGTAACATTTTCTTATCTAAATACGTCTTACGCCAGCTAAAGAGAAAATGTTAGCCATGCATCGTCAACGATACTGACGACCTCGCGAGAATAGGATATATCCAACGCGGGATGGCAGAGCTACCTGTAAGCTCCCTTTCATTATTTGCATGCTGTTATCTGACCCTTCCTGCAGAGCTGGGACTGGGCTTTTGGCCAAACTCCCGAATTTGAGTACACGATCAAGAAGCCGTTCGTGTGGGGCGATGTTGTAAGTCCGTTCCCTTTTGTTACTGCATTCTCTAAACACTGTACCAACAGACAGCACACATCCACGCTCGACACGGGGTGATTCTCTCCTGCACGCTGCAAGGGTTGGACTCTGAGCTTGGAAAGGCTCTCGAGGGCAAACGATATGGGTTTGTTGAAGATGAAGAGCTGGGTGTAGATCTGAGTGGAAGGCGAGAGGTTGTGTGGGCTTGGCTGAAAGAGGAGATGAAATCCTATGATTGATACCTTGTTTTCAGTTAGATGTATACAGACGACAGTGCTGATGGACACGGATATAACGCGAACTCGCGAGCGCAGAAATCTTCGATCCTGGTAAAGATACTTCAGGTGCTTTTAGACTTTGTTCTAGTGCAAGAATATTTGCAGGAAATCCTCAATGACATATCTCTGCCCACCGAACGTTGGTGTGTAGTATCCATCTAAAGAACAATTTCATTCAAGGTAGCATGGTATGTGGTATCATTATGATGTAGCTTCCGTGTACCAAGCGCTACTCGTCTCGAAACCTTCTGGAGGTACGGGGTTTGACTAGAAAAGTATATGATATTTATTCAGGCGTGGACAAGTGTAAAGACATGCACATACAGATTGTCCACGTGTGTGTCCTGTTAACCGCCTATCACGGTCCATCATCATCTCGTCCCAAGAATCGACGTGGTATCGGACAGGCTAGGGAGTTGCCAATGTGTCCGGGCGAAATGAGTTATGCGAAATGAAGAATACGGTGGAACAGTCAGGTACTGGTGACATTTAGAACTTTACAAAACAAATTCTGGACATACCTTGCCTTGATTCTGAGCCCTTTTAGAAACATTCAAGAGCGTTCCGGCTGCTGCAAACATTGAAGTGAGCAGGCCTGTGATGTTATTAAGAATATGAGATTATCAAGTCAGCAAATTATCCCTTTGGATTTTGTGGCAGCATACCAAATGGAATGAGAGCTTCCCATGGGACAGGCATGGTGGAATGTGCTTCAGTGATCAGAAGTGTTGTGTATATGGGTTGGTGTTCTGCACAAGGTCGGCGTTTCCGATTTATTTGGTCTCATTTGTTCCTGAGCTATGAGAATACAAGCGACGTATTATCCGTTCCCTCAATTCCTTTCTCCCCAGTTACATATATATTCGTCACTTGATAGTTATTCGTACCTATTGCCGGATAGTTTGCGAGCTTTGATTTGATTCCTGACTTCTTTAGTTCATAGTTGAGCCATCGAGGTCTTAGTTACCTGAGCGAAATTTCATGCAGTATTTACTATTGATTCGGGTTGACTTCCTAATCTGGCACAGACATAGCAAAGTCACCAACTGCCGAAGCCCGCTCCGGACTTTTGGCCCCACAGTCGGCCATTTCCAGGATGTTCTCGTCTTTCCGAGATCGACCAGCCTGGCTTCGCCACTCGGCTTGTCCGTGGTGTATAAGCCAGGCTGGCCACGAACCTAGGCTTTAATTTCAGACCTCGTGTCCTGGGCATCTAATGATACACGAAGCAGGCTGTGAAGAAATACCAAAAGGCCCGGTACATGCACTTCTGAAACTTAGATCAAGATACCCTAGACCACAAGCTCTCCAGCAAGTCGTGCTCAACCTCGAGCAAAATGACGGAAGCGGAATCCCCCGCCATTCGCATCACCACGACTAGTCAAACATTCAAAGGTCATGACGATACTCTCTTTGCAGTTGCAGTCTTCCCCGATAGACGCCGTATGGTGACCGCGTCGTACGACAAGACGCTTCGTTTGTGGGACTTAGAAGATGGTGTTGTATTGAAGATAATGGAGGGACATCGCTTCGGCATACGAGCTGTTGCAGTATCAAGAGATGGGAAATGGATTGCAAGCGGTGATTTTGGCGGAGAGCTCATCGCTTGGAACAAAGACGGCGAATCTCTCACCCAGCCTATCAGAGTCCACTCCGAACAGATATGGTCGCTTGATTTTTCCCCAGACAGCACATTGCTGGCGAGCGGCTCAGTGGACACCACAGCGGAGCTCTGGAACACACAAACATGGCAAGTGCAAGGATATCCAATTAATTGTGGGCCTGGTGCCGAAATCCGCTGTGTTCGGTATTCACCGTCTGGTGAATATCTTGCCATCGCAACCACGATAAATATCCAGATATGGAATCCAGGCAAGAGGGAATGCATCAAAAAGTTCCAGGGTCACTCTGCACTCAATGGAGCATATAATATGTCGCTCGCGTGGACGCCCGATGGCAAACAGCTTGTCTCAGCTGGTGATGAATGTGATCCCACCATACGGATTTGGGACTCATCGACCTGGATGCAGGTCGGTGAACGCTGGAAGGGTCATACTGACTTTGTCTTCATGATTGCCTTGAACCCTGCTGGCACCCTCCTCGCGTCTGCATCTGGAGACCAACAGGTTCGCCTTTGGCGACTTTCGGATCGACGAACCATCGCCATATTCAAGCACCCCAATCAGGTGTTTTGTGTCAACTTCTCCGCGGATGGCAAACACGTTCTCAGCGGAGGTAGAGATGATATGATCTCAAAGTGGGCAGTACCTTTACTGGGCGATGTTCCCGAGGACCAATTATCAAATGTAAGATTCTATTCATTCTCCTTCTGTTCTTCATTTCATTTTCTCCAAGGATGCATTACGAGAAGACACTTTGAAGGAACATGCGGCAAATCTTGTGAGTTCCTGGTCCTTCATAGTCGGTTCGTCTTTTTGCATATTGATCCTCAATCTTAATGTCAAGGCTCAACAGTCTGATTGCGAGGCTTGTTTCCAGCCTTCATTCTTACTACGCGATCTGACCATGTGTAATGCAGATCCTGGTCATCAACACGACAGCCCGCGATGCATGCATATCCGGGGACTTGCCTACTGCTGCCAGGCTGCTCACCCAGGATATCAACGCCGATAGCGACAACTACAACTCTTACGCGAATCGCTCGTTTGTTATGGCAAGAAAAGCCGACTGGGACCGCGCACTTGATGATGCACTAAAAGTGAGACAGCCTTCTTATCGTGACCTCTTTAAAATAGGCTAAATTATACGGTGATATAGAGCATCAGTATTCAGTCATCCTTGATGGGCTGTATCTCCAAGGGCATCGCCCACTGTGGAAAACGACAGTTCCAAGATGCGATGAAAGCATTTGATCTTGCGTTCATGTACGTAGACGTAAACTTAAATAAAACTCGTCTTCTACTCTTAATTAAGGTACGTCAATAGTGTTTCATGTACTCGCTACTTACACGACAGCTGCTGTCAGGCCATCGCCCTTTTCAATGCAGATCAACATGATGAGGCAATTCTGCGCGTCCAAGAGCTAGCTACCACTCGTCCCAATGCGAATTTTCTTGCCTGTGGTATTGTGGAAGTGAGCGCTCCTGACACAGTCAACTCCAGATTCATACGTCGGTACTGATTTTGTGAGCCTCCTACTTCAGGCTTATCTACACGTCCAAGTGGGAATGAATGCATTGAACGACGCACGTCACAACGAAGCGACTGGTCACTTCACTGCTGCTGTCAACATTATCGGTATCCCGTCTATGTCTGACATCCATTCTAAGTATGATGTCTTCGCGGTGGTAGGTTGATTACAATGCAACTGGACATTTTTTCATGCCCAGCTGCTTTTTCTAGTTATTCGGATGGGACCTCAAGTCCTTGTGGCGAACTGTACACCAGAATTGGTGCCATGCGTTCCTTCGAGCAGGTAGACTTCCAGAAGCCATCAAAGCATACCGATACATGATGGATAGGGCTGATGAGGCTACGAAAGCTTGCTGCCTTGATTGGTCCACTGGCAAGTCTTTGTAATATCAACCGGGTATCATTCTCAACCCCGCTTTACTTAGTTTTCAAACAAGATTGCAGCGTTCTCTATACTACTGCCGGTGTGACTGACCTCGTTGCAAGCGGAGATGATGCCCTCGCTGTGGGTCATTACGACAGGGCTATCGAGCTTTACTCTGCGGCAATCGACCTCGATTTTGCAACCGATATCGTCTTTGCGAACCGCAGCAAGGCGAGGTCGGGAAAAATGCTATGGGACGTGGCACTCCTCGACGCGGAAAAGGTGTGTGACATTTACCATTTCGTAATCGGCGCTCATTTTGGTGATATGCAGGTCATCGAACTCAACCCCTCATCTTACTTTGGATATCAGTTGAAGCATGCAGTACTTCATGACGCACACAGATACGATGAAGCTATCGATATGTTCAAAACTATGGTCTCCAAGTTCGAAAATGCTCCCAACACAGACACAACAAGTACGCCCCAAATGACGCGTTCTTCAAACATTGTTAACTCTTTGTCCAGACTTCCGCCAACAGTATGTCAGTCCATCCGAAGCAGAAGGTGCTATTCAGGAAACTATCAAGGGTCAACTCGACGACGCTCCGCATCGTCTGCTCAACACCTCCACTGGGCGCTTGTGCAATCGCGAGGTACAGATCAAGGCCTTCAGAATGAGCACAGAGTACAAAGAACTTTTGTCGTCCACAATGAAGCATGCAGACCTTCAAATGGAGCGCATCCAAGACGCGGTAGCAATGTACTTCCGCTATGTCATGCTATCGCATAGGTGGGAAGGAGCGGAGCCGTCGTTGCATGACATCCAGGGCAAAGTGGTATACGACTTAGACCCAGTTGGTGGCATCGCGAAGTTGCAGTCATTCTGTGAAACTAGTCGTGGCAAAGGGTATCGCTGGGCATGGATTGATACGTGTTGCATCGACCAGACTAACAACGTCGAGCTCCAACAATCGGTCAATTCCATGTTTATCTGGTATCGTCACTCAGCACTTACCATCATCTACCTGTCGGATGTTCCGCCTTCGTCGCAACCTGGCGCACTCGCCAGTAGTGCTTGGAACACGCGAGGATGGACAGTTCAAGAATTTCTGGCCCCAAAATTTGTCCTATTTTATCAGAAGGATTGGTCCCTTTATCTCGACGATCGCTCTCCAAATCACAAGGATTCCCTTGCAATCATGCAGGAGATGGGAGATGCGACAGGCATAGATGCACAAGCCCTCGTCGCATTCAGTCCAGGGATGAGAGACGCCCGGGAGAAACTTCAATGGGTGTCAGCGCGTGTCACCACGTGGCAGGAAGATATTGCATACTCATTGTTTGGTATCTTCGGCGTCAACCTGCCTGTCATTTATGGGGAGAAGAAGCAAAGGGCGCTTGGGAGGCTCTTGCAGGAGATCGTAGCCCAGTCGGGTGACATCAGTGCCCTGGACTGGGTGGGGCAATCATCCGAATTCAATAGCTGTCTGCCAGCCGATATTACTTCATATAAAGCTCCACCATACGCCCTGCCATCTCTGTCCGAACATGACATTCAACTGTCGATTTCCTCGCTCCGACATGCTATGGCTGTGGATTTGGCATTGGAAATTTACGCCCTGCTTGACAAGCAGAACGCGCCTCGTTTCACGAACTGCAGACTCCATCTGCCTTGCATCGCATTTCGTGTCACAGCAATCAAACAGAATCGCGCTGAAGACCAGGAGACATATGAAGTCAAGGCCGAAGGGCTTCATGACCTGCTGATCACCACGAAGGACAAGCTGAATCAGCCCTCATCAACACGACGCACTATGCAGTCATTCTTGCTTGTTTGTCCGTGGAATCGTAATCTCCTCGAGCTTCCTGGCCTCGCAGAGCCGCCTGGCTTGGCAGAGCTACCAGACGTTGCTGACGATACGCAGAGCGAAGAAGTTTATTGGTCTGCACCCGGGTCTCCATTACAGACTTCGCCTAGCTTGGCAGAGCTACCAGACGTTGCTGACGATACGCAGAGCGAAGAAGTTTATTGGTCTGCACCCGGGTCCCCATTACAGACTTCGCCCGGGGGGTTCCCTGAAGCACAGGAGTCAGTTGATTCGGAACTGAGCGATCGATCTTTGCGATTGATTGTTCACCTTGAACAGCCTTTTGGCGCATTTTTGCTAGCGCATCAGCGTGGCGGAGAATACAAGAGAGTCGCGTCAGATCATGATATTATTGCACAAGTCAAAGACTTTTCTTCTATTCCGGACATGGTCAAAACGCTAGAGATATTGTAGGGGTGTGGTTTATAAGAATGTGAATCTGACATATGAGACGAGCAATACGATGTCCTCGAAGCTTAAGGTGATTTACGAGCAACAGCCTCTGTTGGCTGTTGCACGTTTGGTAATCGTACGTCCGTTTCTTGCATCGGCCCATCTGCCACCGGTGGCAACACATGCCACCAGCGTCTCATCACCTTGAACTATGTGCTACGTACTATACAGTTTCACCTTCGACACTCAGCTACAGATTCACCATGTTCGTATATCAGTTGCGTCGTTCGCTCGTCTCACCTCAGCGCTCAGCGTTGTCCCACATCTCTAGCTCCGATCACCAGCCACTTCTGGCATCGGTCCTTCAGACTGGAGAGATCCATTGCCTGCCTCGCATCACCTTCTCTTTCAAACCTGCGCGGTGCAGCTGGACCGTCAATCGCAAACAGTTTCCTCTCAGACCTGCATACGCGACTACATTCAACGGATGTCGAAGGCTCACATGGCAGAAAGCTGTACTGACAACTATACACTGCACTTTTGAGAGTGCGATGTCGCTGAGACATTCGGGCACTGTTTCCAATAGAGAATGAGGAGTCAAAGACGACGGCGAACCAGCATACAAGCATCTATTATTGTAACTGACGATAGGAAACGTCTGAAGGTGATCGGAACGCTTGTATTCAATATTCAGCTGCTGCCTGAGCGCTGAAGCTAAGCGCCAAATTGATGTTCGAACGTTCCGATATAGCTATCGGTACCATGTACCCTGTACTCGTGGAAGAGATTGGATGACCTCCCATTATTGTGGTGGGGATATCATGGTGATTCGAATTCCTAGAGGCGAGTCGTTACTTTCCAATCAAATAAATTCCTTTTTGCTCATTCACCAATCAGTCGTGGTTCAATGGCTGCGTTGCACGCACCATGATCACTTCCAGGTTGGCTTTCAAGGCTGTCAAATTGCCAGTATCACGGAGCATACTCAGTTTTAGCGCGTCTTGGCCCACCCCATGATTATCCGCCGGACACATGGTGGTAGATAACAAGGCCCCGCCTCAGCCTGTACTACATCGAGTAGGGGTGGGCGTCCGACGAAGTGGAATCCCCCACGAGCAAATATTCGTCAGTATGAATTTCGTTGATGCAGAATAGTTTCACCATTATTCGAGGTATCGACAGCCTCCAAAGTCTATCACCATTCTGCCAAACAGTGCATGCATGGTACTTGCTCCGCTTGTCACGGGCAGAATGGATCACGATGCATTTAGACAGTTCGCAAAGAAGGTTTGCTGGTCCTCAAAAATCTTTTTAATGTACGAGCTTAATTACGTCGAGACATCCCGCCCGCAGCACGATAAAGACAAGACACAAATTTTCATTCCGTTCCGTAGTCTCTGCAAAAGGGGTAAGCATCTTGATGGTGGCAAACCTTAACTCAGAACTTATAAATCCTTTAGATATATTATATCCCCTTCCTGTTCAGAGCGCATTAGATATAATGCCCAGTTCTTTAACATCGTGCTAGATAAGGACGATATGGATGTGCTTGATGCACTCGATCAAGAGGAGGGAAATTTGACAACGTTAGTGGCCACCGTGACTGGAAGGAGGGCCCTGTCGAACACGAAAAAATCCCATTGTCAATGGTAAACTGTGCTGATTTTTCCATGGGTCGAGACTTTTATGAATTATTCCGATTTCACCGGTTCACCGACTGACACGTACACGCACTCACACCGTCGGCTGAAAACTTCCAGGACTAAACCCTTGTGAGCATGTTGGCTGACCGAGGAACAAGACCGAGCCGATGTGCTTACCATCTGTGTATGCCAATTGGGGATGATAATAACGTAGTCTAGCCGAATGGTGTATGAATTGGACCACAAAGTTATGTAAAAAATTGACCCATATCTTGAGCAACATCCCACGAGGCAAAGCAAAACCAATTCAAAATGGTGTCGGGAAGTTAGGGCGCAAACGCCGTCACGACGGGTAGCGAGTGAGGAGCCGTGTCGCATGAAATGGAGTGTTCAACGTTCAACAGTCAATGCCAGGTCGATCGAGTTTGTATTCAGGATGAGTCTCAGTACACAGACTCATCAGATTGACGCGCCCCTATCCTTCCAAAGGAAAGACCTTTTTTAAGAACAACCTCAGGTCATCCATCTCAGATTCAGCCAACAGTGTCGCTACGCCGTACGACATGAAGCTCACACCCGGCTCTCCCACCTTCGTATACTGTCCATATCTCACTTCCAGTCTATCTCCCATGAAATTGGCCGACTCCCAGCTCAGATCCCAGGTCACAGATTCATTCTGCACCCCATGACCCCAGAACACGGGTATCGTAGATGCGTGCATGGACAACCGCTGAAAACACATCTAAGACACAGCTTTTCGCCACTTGAAAGTTTCCTCTCACCTTTTTGTATTTGTCTCGCATGGGGAGCCAACCACCTAGACATATGACTCCTCCCAACTTCCAACCATCTTGCATGTCAGAACCACCCCTCCACTGACTGCCACCCAAACCGGCGATCAGGGATATCGCTCCCCCTTGGCCAAATCCCCCAAGCACGATACGTTCCTGTGAAATTCCTGAATCGATCTCAGACTGGATAAAGGCATCTAAATGCTTGACGCTTTGCATGATTCCCTCATCATACTCCTGAATGTCGTCGTCTTCCGACAAATATGTCAAAGGCTCGCGCAAGACGTCAAGCCAGCCCCTAGTTGAACTTCGCCTCCTTGTGTCTCCTTTCCATGCGGTAATGGAGCGCTCAGGCGCATTAGGGAACACCCACTTGATGTGTGGAAGCTGGAATGCTATCGTGCGCATCTCCTTGTTGTTTGAGAACTCCAGACCACTATCTCCCAGTCCCTATGAGCAAGTCAAAGATTAATATGTCCCTCTCGCGATCACCACAGCACGTACATGAGCAAATATGACCGTGGCGGTGTGCTTCGTCTTTGGGGTTATGGTCGCAAAAGTTAGTGGTAAAGACATTATTCTGGAGGAGCAAAGAGGGCCACGTGTAGGAAACTTAAGCCCCACTCTGCGCCCAAATTCTCACTCATTCTCACTGTCAGGATGTGGCGGGCTGTGATCTATGCAACATCAAGAAGCGTGGGATTATAGATAGGTGGTGATTCGCACACGAATATCGGGTACAATAGGCAGCAATTCTGAAATGTCAAAGGGACAATGATTTGTCTCAATGTACCGATAGAATGCAGTATCGAACACATGTGTGGAACCAGATTTATGGTCCTAGACAATTGATTGGCTTTACAGGTTCTAAGTTTGCTACATACTGTCAGTATGTATTTAATCGAGGAGGGTCACTTAACCATACCTGCTGTGGTACGACACTTCCCAAGAATGTCACCAAGTCATCCATCTCTTTCTTGCATGAAGCGTGGCCCATACGTTCATAAGACCGAAAGTTAATCCCAGGAGCGCCAAGTTGGTCATGGGCACCGTGCTTCACGATACCAGGTTGATCTTGAAGTAATTCAACTGAAATCTCCCCCACTTTATGATATATCACCGCATCTGCTGTTCCGTGTCCCCACAATACCGGCATAGATTTGGCATGCGGGGAAATGCGCTGTATGAACGTTCAGTATCATCATAGTACACGGGAGAAGAATTTATGATGGTGCATTACTACTGACCGACTTGAACTTCTCTCTGACTGGCATCCAACCGCTCAGCACGACTACACCAGCCAGCTTGTTGTCATCCCCGGAACTCTTCGTTCTCCAGTCTTTACCACCCAGACCTGCCGCCAAAGCCAGAGCTCCTCCTTGACTGAATCCGCCCACTACGATGCGACTTTCTGGTATCCCAGCCTTGACTTCTGCTTGAACCAAGTCGTCTATGATCTGAACACCATTCTTCACGCTCTCGTCATCATCAACCACTTTGCTCAAGTACAGTTCCGGTGGAAGCGGTAGATTAGACATATCAAACCATGAAGGCATCTCAGTGCCAAAATTCGCCGTGACGGCCTGCTCGGGGGCATCTGGAAAGATCCATTTGACATGGGGAAGACGAGCGGGGATTGTCAGTTCACCGGGCTTTCTGTAGTCGTAATCACCGCTTATCGCTGCGCGCCAACTTGCTCCTTCGTCGCCGAGACCCTACACGGCGAGACTAAATCAGCGTATGCTTCTAGCACGATCAAGAGTTGGGATTATGAACACACATGAGCAAAGATGACGGTTGCAGTGTGCGCTGCGGTCGGCTGGATGATGGCTGACGGCATCTGATATGGCCTATGTCTGTGTGGATAGGTAGAGAAAGTGCGCGCTGCCAGCGATATGATAGATTGCAATGCACGTGAACTAGGCATGGCTAATAGCATCATTGGCGAATATACCGGCTGCAATTTTCGGCCTCGTTCCTCGGCTAGCTGACATGCTTCCCGTGCACCAATGATAATCGATAACTTATGTAGACGGTGATCTTGGTCTCCCGTAGGCAGACCAATAGAAAGAAGGTAGTCGTACGTTCCTTATACCAAGACAAAATGGTCGCCGTGAACACAAGTGACGCTATCAATAGGATTATAACGTTAATGTAATCATGGGACATCAAGCAAGGTGAGCGTTAACGCCGGCGACAGCGCCTGGTTGTTTAATAATAATATCTTCAAGTGGAGTTCGCTTCGAATCATATTCAAGTCATATCGTACTCTCCCTAGGCTAGCGGTCTACAGCCTAGTTGTTACCCCTATTCATGGCCATGTCCACCGCATAAGTCCTGAACTTACCTGAAGTACGTAGTATGCGCAAGATACATGAATGCAAACGCGAATTTATCGCGCACAATATGCCTGGAAAATTTTAATCACACGATAGTCACACTTGGATTCGGAAGGATGGATAGGAAAAAAAAATTAACCAAGGACTTTCGCTAGAAGCAAGCGGTTCATCCGTTCGTGATGGAAAATGCATCCCGATCTGTTGGCTCCGCGGCAACTGTGTTGAGTCATGTCACTTGCACTGCGCGCCTGATAGGGGTGCAGGTGGAGAAATTATTAATATGCCACGGATAGCACTGGTTGGGGTCGAGAGCTGGAAACCCCGCCATCCTGGTCATCTTCTTCCCCTTCCCCGTTCTCGTTCGAAGCCACCAGCTCTGCTTCGTCGGCATCCTCCTGGTCTTCCTGATCTTCATCTTCTCCGACATGCTCTCCTTCAGGGGATGCATCTGGATTGGTCGTTTTTTGTTGGAACTTTCTCTGCGGAATAATGCTCCAAAACGCCTGCTCCCAGTCTCGTGTTTCAACCCACTTCAGTAAGATTTCGAATACCTATAGGTAAACCGGACAGCCTTCGCTATCAGAAAAACAAACGACGTAACGAATAGATGTCACCTGGTTGACCGTGAGCACCTTCCTCGTCGTTAACGATGCTATATATCGGCCTATAGGAAGGCGTGCGTGTCGAATGGATGCCGTTTTAGCTTTTTCAAGGCAGAGATTCTGATATATTTTGTTAGATCAGGGTGGAGGAATTACGGGAGATCTGGGGAGCAGATCAGGGAAGGCGAACATGGGGTCGCTGAAGAATAATACCGGCTCCATTTTCTGGTTTTTGCGAAGGAATACCGAACAGGGTATGAGGTTTTTTCAAAGTACATACCTTGTATCGGTTGTGATCGCAAATACCTCCGATAACGTATATTTCACCCTCCTTAAGTTCTACCAGCTCTTCCTCGGAGTCAGCGGTCAGGTAAACCACACTCGCGCGATGTGCATCCATGTCTTCATCTCCGCTGCAAGAATCGGATTTGGATGTCCATATTCGATCGTAACCTTCCTCCCACCATTTTGTATTCGTCCATCGCTTGTATCCAGCATCGTTTATGGCATCTAGCCGCGCCTTTGTCCGCCCATTGAGGGATGTAAATAATAGTGATGTAAACGGGGTAGATGATCGTCGATTCGCGCTGTATGTATATGCCAGTTGGGAAGTCAAAGAGGTCACTTCCTGCAGGCATGCTCGTGTCAGTTAGGTAATACCGATGGTATTCGTACGCACCTTGTCCGTCATCATATCATCGAAACCCAGGTCTATCACCACCTGCGCAGCAAATGAAGTCTGATCAAATCCACCCATCTTACGACGTTTCCGTGGCTCCGCATCGCCTGCTTCTGCACGCTCTCGTCGCTTGCGTTTTTTCGCCTCCTTCTCGCGCGCACGACGTTCAGCCTTTTGCTCTTGTAAGCGGGCTGCTTTTGCGGCTCTCTTTTGGGCTTTTTTTGAAAGGGGTTGTGAGGTAATAGAAATTTCTTCGGCCTGGGCAATCACTGGTTGTTCCATGATGATCACTGTCCGAGCTTCGGTCGCAGTCTAGGGATCTCGGTGGTATTATTTGCGCCAATGGTTAAGGTTGAATTGCCACCGCGGCCGGGGACCGCCGGCACTTACGGGATTAGTGTAGATAAGAGATCGATCGTAGTGTAGAATTGGCGTAGAAGACGGGTCAAATATAACGATCAAAGTAGCTATTTGGAGGCTTATACATACTTAGGGAGCCATTCCTCTTCTCCGGTGCTAAAATTCTTTACAAGTGCCATTTCTAGTTCACTTGACTCATCTCTCACCTCCACAATACACGAGTGAGACACCCAGCGATGTCAATAGTCACGTTGCCCTTCCTAGTCGTGCAGCCAACCAAACCACATACCGCAACTGTAATTTGTGTACATGTAGGTGCACTCTCTCACCACGCATGACCTTCATCCATTCGCAACGGTGTTCGACACCCAGTACCCTACTTCCTCTGTTATTCGCCTATTTTGTCGTTCGTGCTGATCACATGCACCAGGGCATCGGCTGATGATGGCAGAGGATGGATTCCCCTCACAAACGAGCTCGCGTCTGCCCTCCCACACGTCAAGTGGGTTCTCCCCCACGCACCTCAGCGACCCATAACAGTGTATAATAAAGAATGGCTCCGTGCCTGGTTCGATATACCATCTTTTTCCTTCACCGAGACCGAGGATGCACCGGGCATGTCGGACTCAGTACGCAAGCTAGACGCGCTTGTCAAGGCCGAGGTCGACGCTGGCATTCCACAAGAGCGTATTGTCCTCAGTGGCTTTTCGCAAGGTGGTGCAATAGTACTCCTTTCTGGTCTTGGAGGGCGCGCGGTACGCGAGGGTGGTGAGCCCTGGAAACTTGCAGGAGTCGCAGTGATGAGTGGATGGCTACCATTACGAGACCGTTTCAAGTCACTTATCTCCCCGCACGCACTAACAATGCCGGTTTTCTGGGGTCATGGAACAGACGATCCACTTGTGAGATATAGCTTCGGGCGAAAGTCGGCGGAGATCTTGAAGGACCAGGTCGGTTTAGCGCTAAGGTGGGGCGATAAAGGAGAAGCGGAACGCGCGGCCTTTGGGAGCGCTGGTGTGAGTTTTCTGGGGTATAATGGTGTACTACACGCAGCATGTTCTAAGGAGCGTGCTGACCTGAAGGAGTTTTTAAAAAGAGTAATCCCTGACAATCATACTGGATGATGAGATAGGGGTTATTAGACCGAGATGGCGCTACCACATCTATTTTCTTGTTCTTCTTCATATGTCGCATACCACGTTACAGTTGGGATTGTAGGATTTTAGTAATTCTTAGGAAGTGAAAGACAAATTCGATAGTCGAGATCTGATGTTGAGTTTATGGAATAGGTTAGCAAGCTAGAACGAGATTCTAGTCTACAACGATAGCGCGAGAAACTAGAGCACATCTTTGAGATTCGTCTGGGCTGATCCACGTTCGAGGGGTTTGGGTTGATTCGGCGAAGGTTTCCAGCCAATCTGAAATAGGATGAGGTAAAAACCTATCAAAAGGGAATTTAGATATACCATGTAGATAATCTGGAATGTCGCTGGAACGGAGCCGTCTTCATTTCCGTGCAGTTCTATTTAAAAGAATTAAATTTTATAGGTTATACACTGTGCTGTAACAGACCTTTATAAATAGCTGAGGCAGCAGCCAACGTATCCCTGTGCAAGAAGTGTCGCCTACAAAGTCACAATAGGAAACAAAGATACATGCATCGATTTGGCTCACCGTCCAACAATAGCGTTGCTCTCACCCATGTCGCGCAGATCTTCGAGAAGCTCCCACATGCTTGGGTACCCAACACGTACTTCATCGATATCTACAGTGAGTAGAGTGAATCCCGCACGAGAGAGAAGGTTTGAGATGTCTTTAGTGTCTATACAAAAAGCAAAGTAGAGCTGATGAAACAGTAATAGTGCGAGAGTGCATAAATGAGTTACCTGTCATGGGCGAAATATGTGGCGAGATGCCGCCCTCGCGGTCTACTTCCGCCAGCTGAAGGGCAGTCCTGTGAAAAGAATGTCTTTCAACGACATAGACGACCGTCCCAATCTCTTACCGGAGCTCAAACAAGGTATCCCCGCCAAACATGGCGCCTAAAAAGAGCCCATCAGGTTTCAGGGCTTCCTTTATTTGTACAAGCACGCCTGGTAGGTCGTTCACCCAGTGGAGGCTGAGGCAAGATACAATGGCCTCTTGAGAGTTGCGAGGAAGAACATCAAGAAGATTCTCTTCGTCTGCATGTACACGCTCTACTTCAACTGTGGATCACTGGTATTATTGTCAGGGCGCTACCCAGTGAAATAACATGACGTACCTTCGAATTCTTCGTCCCGATCTCGGTTAAGCGTGGTCTCTGTACGACAGTCAGCTAACAACGATGAGAGTCAGAAATAAAGAGCGAACTGCTAGAATCTATCATGAGCACTTTGCGCGTTTTTTCAGGCTCGAGGAGCTTGGAAAAGTGACCAGGCCCTGAACCAAGGTCCACGATGGTGTTGAATTTGCGTTTGATATCCTACACATGAATCATTCAGTTAAGTTGGAAAAAAACAAAACAAGTCAACCGACAAGTAGTCTCTCCATCATTCGGTCTGCAACTTCGTCCCGGACGTAGTCCACAGTCCTGCTCCCAACACCTGCATCTCTGCTCACTGCCCGATCTCTCTGCTTCCTCTTAGCGGCCCGGTCAAATACTTTATATACCCCACTAGTTGCTGGCGGAAACGATGAGGGTGATTCGGAGGCAAATGCACGCGTCCAAGGACGTATTGCATGACGAGCAACCACTTGGAGGGACATCACTTGGCCTCGGAAGCTTCCGAATTGCGCTGGGTCGCGTCTACGCGTGACATGTAACTAACAGTCACAAGACAATCACGCATTGTCTCCTACTTTAACTCTTTCATCGTCTTAATTTGCTCTTACAGATTCGGGGCTCTCGCTTTGCAATTTTTCATTTGACTCGCTCGATAGTTGGATATCGCGACAATGAACAATGGTAGTCAATCCAACTCGAGTGACTATCGTGCGATGGCTCCGTTTGTCAACCCCTTCAATAGCCAAGAGTACGCGTCACGCAAGGCCAAGATCGAGGAGGCTAAGCGAAAGCTCATCGAAATGGAACTACAAAATGAACTAGAGGAGATTGCAAGACAAGGGCGGGAGGCTGAGTGAGCGCTTTGTTGTTGAACAGCGTTGTAGCTAATGCGCCAAAAGGCAGAGACTGGCAGAGATGAAAGCGTCCATGGCAGCGCAAGTGCTGTGAGTAAAGAGATTTCACAACATTCTGTGGTGATTGATATATGTGATCACTTCGCTAGCATCCCAGCTGGGCTTCCATCAGCAAGTGGCTCTAGCCATTATCCCAATGCAGTTTATCAGTTTGCGGAAGAAGTACCTTTGACAGCCAGAATCGAAGGAGAAATACGCGACACATCTCCAAATGTACTGCTCGTATTTGCTGTATCTTCTTTAGTCTCATTTTGTTCAGTCATCTAGGCTGCAAATGCCATATAACTACCAACATAACTACCCGACCACCAATCCGTCACAGCAAGCAGGATTCCAGGCGCATATTTCAACCCAGCCACCGTCGCAGAGGCCATCATTTACGCAAACACAGTCACAGGAAGCGGCAAGGTCCCGAAGTTCGCATGCGCCATATCCTCTTGGCTCCGCATTTACTGTTCACGGCTATCAACATTCACAACAAGCCTCGTCTACGCCTTCTCAACAGCAACGATTTAAATTTAGTATGTAGAATTTTGTCGGTTAATTTTGCATGGTTATACTTAGTGCGGCTGTGTTCTACCACAGATGAGGAATACTGGGCAAAGCAGAGCCAAAAGTATGCGGCAGAGCTGGCTGGTGCAAGTGCGCAAACTTCACAAGCAGGCATCAAACCTCAAGCAAGCGCGTTTACTGGAACAGGGATACCCCAGTATGCCCCTCAAGTTCAACATCAAGTGGCATCCCCAGCTGCACCGGCCGTTGCGACTATCGTCTCATCGACTGGGCGTCCATCTTTGTCATCTGCTGAGCGACCGTCCACCAATCGTCAATCCTCAGGGCAGCCTTGCTCAGTCCACCATCACGAAACCAGATTTCATTCGGCAGTTCCAGTTGGCTTGCAATGTAAGTTGCGACGTTGGTGAATTCTGTACCTTCCTTTAAATACTTTCTGACAGCACGGCGCGCAAGCTATTCAAGACTTTCTGAGCTCGTGCCCTGTGGCCGTGGAATGGTGGGCCGAAGCTGCGCGTAGCCTTAATCCAGAAAATTTCAAAGACGTGGGAGTTCTCAAGATGCTTAATGACATGAGAAATCTTAAGTGGACCCCCTTACCTCGAGCCAATTCTTCTGCCTCTGCCAGTACCAACGTCCGTGTTCCTACAGGGATTTCGGCAACATCTGAAGCCACAATTCAGCCTTTGCCTTTGCCCTTGCCTGCGAATCCCCCGCCCGCTCAACAAACGCCAGCAGGTCCCGGTACCAAGGAAGCTTTCGTGCGATACTTTCATGAACGATTTCAGGTGCATCACTTCGTACCTCGCTGACCAACCGAGTTTGACGATTTTTTCATCCTCAGGGAGTAGACATGGACGTGACTGTCAAATTCCTTATGCAAAATCTGCATTCCGTGCCGGAGGAGTGGCGGAAGGCGCTCTTCGGCAGTCTAGCTCCAGAGTTTAAAAAGGAGCTTGGTCATGCATTGACTCGTGCAAAGGCTTCAGCAGCTAGCAAAACTTTACCTGTGACCAGTGCCGCGACGCCGAATACCTCCTCCGACCGTGTGCCAACCGTCGCGCAGCAAAGTCGAACCACTACTGCCAGCAACGCTGTTACACCTGCAACTGCGCACACTACGTCTGAGTCGTCAAAATCGATTCCCGTACCCCCCAGACCGTCTGTGACTAAAAATACACAGGCTAAGTCCACGAGTGTACAACCCCCAAGGGCGTTGACTTCAAATCGCACTGCTGCAACTACCGTCGCTCCATTGGCTACCAAGGCAACCCCCGCACCTCACGCACAGGTATCTCTATCGACCACGCAGACGGCGCTTTCAGCGTCCTCAATACAGCAAGCTACATCTCTGACCGGGACTAGTATATACGGACAAGCGGTGGGCGGTGCTCATAAACCATTCAGTGTACCCCCTCCAATGAGTATACTAAGTGCCGATGGCAATGTCGCTCAATACGCGTATGATCCATATTTGAAGAAATACGTGCGGGCGGATACCCCAACGGAGCACGCAGTGCCATCAGGATCGAACACGGGTATATACTCCCACGACTCTGTGTCCAAAACATATGATAGGCAGCAGCCGCCAGCTCTCGTGCCTCAGGCCATACCGGCGCACACGCAAGCTCCAGCTGCTGTATTGATTCCGCCTGCTACTCCGCCGCGACAGAAAGAGAATGGGGCTACCCCAGTGGTGCGCACACCGCAACAGGCCGACAGGTCACGGCTTGCAAAAGATATCCTAAGGTCACTAGGAATAAACCCGCCACCCGTGACGGCGGAAGAGGAAGAAGATGCTCGCGAGGAAGCTGGCGTATCATTGGGAAATCTACCAGTAGTCGCAGAGCATCAGCAGGAGACGCCACCATCTGATGACTTATCAGCAGCTGAAGCCCCACAGGAGACTAGCGTCTTACAACCTCCGGATGTTTTGATGGAACAAGAACAGCCTGCAATACAAACACCGCAAAGTCCTATCAAGGAAGTCACTGCTGATGACATAATCGTGGATGAACCAAGTACTACTATCCCCGAAAAGGACACTGCCTCCCCCGAATTCCCACTACCTGTTGCTACACCATGTCCAGCATCCACATCTTTGGATCAGGAGGAGTTAGCGCGTGGAGTTGATGGAATGTCGATAACCACTGATGTACACCGTTCCAAGCCCAGTCGAGAAGATGGGCCTATCGATAGTCCCATATCATTCCCAGATCTGGATGAGTTTCTACCGCCTGTGCTTGAACCTGTGGGCATCTCATCTCCTGCCCCCAGCTTTAGGGCGCAGTCGCGCGAGCAGAGTGAAGACAATAGGAGTGGGGCTCTTCCGCTTTTCCTGCCGTCACTATCGGTATCACCTGCACCCTCGGGCCACTCTGGTGTCCAACTTCCACCGGAGACAGACGATGAGGTTTTAATAGTAGAATCCATGTTACGCGGTGGTTCGCTTTCTAAGAGCCGTGTAGATTCGTTGGATGAGGATCATGCACAGACCTCACTACGAAGTGTGAAGAGGAAGAAAGGTCAACGGGTCTATGTGTTAGTACCACAGCCTCCTCCTGAGCTTAGGAGGGCTATCAAGAAACGAAAGCTGGAGGATCGAGGCATAGTCTCTGGCTCAGAGGAAGAGGAAGAGTGTACGAGTTTGTTTCAGTTCGGGTGATTCTCCTGGCTTATGTTCGTTGCAGCCAAATACAATGATTTCGAGCAAGCCCTCATAGCGGACTGCAGAGTTCGAATGGTTGAGAGACCCTGCCAATGGAATGGATGTGATGCTCTGATGAACAACGGGGAGAACCTCTATTTGCATCTCAAGTTGCACGTGCAAGAGGCTGGGTCTCAGGTAAGTGGATACTCGGTGGCAAGATTAAGGTAACTCACCAACCATCTGAAGGGTTTTTTTACATGCCGCTGGCAGTCATGTCCTCGAAGACTCAAGTCGGCAGCAGCTTTGGAGAAACACCTACAGAAACATTCGTACTTCCCTCTGCCATGTCCTCTTGCAAGTACGTGTGACCTAGCAGTCTCGCTTACTATATTCAATTGACGTACTTCAGGTTGTTCAGATGTTTTCGATAAACCAGTTGAAGCGATGGGACATGAAGTGCGACATCAGCAACAGGAATCAATCAAGAAGTTGGAGATGAAACAGCCCCCAAAACCTTTCGCGCCAAAAATACCTCCCATGCTAGATCCTCCACCCAACAGTCTACCATCCTATCGTGTGGAACCGAGATACATTCGCCAAGCTCATATCCCACCTCAACGCCATGCCGTGATCGGTCCCTGGGTAAGTTTTACAATAGACGCTAGTATGCCTGCGCTATAATTGACATGATCATCAAGGTTCTTCAACACATATTTGGCCCTGTCGAACAAAACCTGAGAAAGCAGAATGCATCTATGCGACTCCGATACCCGCGCCCCGACGCTCGTCCGGAGAACCTGGATAACTTAAGGGCAAGACCGGACGAATATGACTTCCTGGCATCACTGTCGACATCGCCAACACGAACGATCCGATACGAGGATCTTGATTCTGGAGAAGTGTCACTGGCACTACTTGACGGGCTCACGCTGTGGGATACAGATTCAAATAGTCGTCAAGAAAATTCGAATCCCAAAGAGGAGGGCTCGGATCTGACAAAAGACATGGTGATCGAGGTGCCAGAGGGAGGTACATCTGTATCCGTGGAAGGATCTGGCAATTTACCCATGGGCGAGGCCTCAACCACGACGGACGGAATGGATGGTAGTCACTGTACTACGGAGGGCGCCGTGGGGGATGAAGAGGCTGTGATAATGATGTTATGGGATTGATGTCGTTGTTAGTGCACACGCACGGTCCTTCAATGAAAAAGGCCTCCACATATTATTGTGACTTGAACGGATGACATTGTGGACAGTGCTGTCATATGTAACTAGGATGAGGAATTGAAAATAATTTTGTGGAAGTCGGTCACAACTCGAAGCTCACTTTGGCAAAACTTCCCTATTGATGAGAAGCATGATCGCAATCTGAAACCGGGTTCTAGGCCCGTCACTACTTTGGCCGCGTTATTCTCCTACGCTCTCCCGCCTGTACATTATGATCGAGCCCAGTGCTACTCAAGGTGAGCTCGACACGACGCTCTTCTCCAAATACATGGTCGTTGACCAGTTCACAACAGTTCCAACTTTTATTTCGTCTCGTTCTGCCGATGTCATCCTGTCCGATATTCGTCCTACTAAATTAACTCCCGACGCTCTCAACTCCATCAATGCCCTACTGGACGAGTTACTCTATAGCATACTTAATACAGCTCGGTCGTTCAACCCTTCCCGACTCAGGACTGCAATGCACAAAGTTCTACCAACCACCTTGGGCAAAGAAGCTATACTTGAGGCTGAGATGGAACTTAGAGCGTACTATCAGCGTACCATTACCGCTGTAGGTTCGGGCTCGTCGAGCGAGGATGGTGTTTTCAATTTGCAGTGGGCAGCCGAGGTGCGTTTTATGGCATTGTGTTACATTCACTCGGACCTCAACACCACTGTGTACAGCTTTTAAGGCTTAAATGCGAAGCATATTCAACCTTGAGCGATACAGATGAGAATTCAGATGCCGAAAATCGCCTGAAGGAACGTATGCTTGCAGACGGTGTTCCTCCTCCCAAGCAAGAAGTCCTTTCACCGGCCTCACTCTATCTAACCGCCATCATTGAGTAAGTACTTCTGCTGTTATTCAGACTTCTCGGCCTGATAACCTATCTCGTTAGGTCCATATGCGAGTGAGTCTAAGTTCTTTCGAAAGTGATGTTCCTGGTCCTGAGCTCATCCACATGATAGACACATTCTGTCAAATGTGGGACGTGTTGCATCACGAGATAGTAGCCGAGCAACAGCTAACTCTCAGGATTTATTCATTGCACTTTGCGAAGACAGTACGATATATGGGTTTTTCAAGAACATGAAAGGTTAGCTTATTTTTATCCGAATATTGTTCGGCACATTGATGACGTGTTTCATTGCTTCTAGTCTACGGGCAAATTGAGACACTGTCAAAATTACCGAAACTGAGACGGAGTAAATCTTTTACCCGGGAAAAGTTGTCGGGTGCGACGTCCCCGGCGTCCTCACGCGAGGGAGACGCATCACGAAAGGACAGCTCACGCCATCGCATGTCGTCAGAGTCATCTAATATTGGACCCGCCATGATTCTGGGCTCTAATCCTCACTCTGCGAGATCATCTATCGACAAGGCACGCGCGATTAAAATATTTAGTGGCAACAGCAATAGAGGATCAAATGACCACCCAAATGGAACTGACTCTGTAATTGGTCATAGGAAGACAGATTCGTTAGTGAGCGCGAGCGCGAAGCAATCCATTCAGAGTGGGGACAGGTCTCCCATTTCGCCGACATTTTCCGTGCGGCTTCCATTGCTTCTCCATTATGAATGCATTGACTCATAATGCGTTCTAGGAGGATCGATCACAAGAATTTGATGACATGATGCGATCAGGGTCGACCATGAAAGTATCGCTCACCCCGGATAGGCTACGGACGATGGAGGTATATAAGGTTCCTTATCACGAAATTTTACGGATTGGTGATGATTATTTGGTAGGCTCTTAACAAAGAGAAGGCACGCTTTAATGGTAGGAAAACCTCCCTCCAATCATCCCACAAGGATTCCATCTCGTCCGAAGCATTACTAGCATCCACTGCGCCTGACCAGCCCAAGCGAACAACAAGACCATCCTTGCGGCACGTTGACTCTATTCACGAAGACGACGAAATACAGCCCATAGTAAAACCCCCTCCAACGTCACGCCCTCGCCAGCTCAGTGCCGCTACTACTTCAGGATTTAGTCCGCCCTCTTCCACCCGCGCTCGCTCTGCCTCTTCCGCTGATCCAATGGTACTAAAGTCTACCACATTTCCACCACCAAGGCAGCCGCATCCGAGCCTTGGTTCGTCCCTGAAGCTACCGAACTTGACACCAAGCAAGGCACAGCAGAAGCGAACAAAGCCCATCCCTCATGGATTGGACGTCGACCAGTCACGACCTCCCCGTACTCACACCGTCGCGAGAAACCGAGAGTCACTTGATCTTGATGATATCATGGGTGCTTCGGAAAACGAGGATGAGGCAGAGAAGCTGAAGAGTACGCCCTGCTATAATTCGCAGAGAGGCATATCAGCAAGCGCTAGAGAGCTTATTGACTTTCTCGCGGAGGGCCCACCAGAACCTCCCGCAACTTCCCCAACCAATGTCAACTCGGGGTCTCTCTTGACGCCAAAAAAAACTGGCCGCCTGCAGCGCATGATCTCTAAGATCACACTCAACGGCAACGAGAAGGTTCGTTCCGATAATGAATCAGGCAAAAGCTCTCCCCGGAGGGCAGACGCTCCTATCCCTCTCCTACCCAACAAGTCCCTGACGAATCTTAGCTCCCTCGCGAACAAACCCGTTCCACCTCGATATCCTACCGACTTGCCCTCTGCTACGTCATCAGACTCCCGTAGCTCTGTTGATAATGCACTCTTAGATCATCGGGTTCGGAAACAGTCTTTTTCACGCAGACCGGTCCCCCCACTTGATCCCAAAACAACCTCACCAGACTCTCTTGTCTCCACATTGGCTTCCAGCGTGGTTGTGGCGGATGTTGGCCCCCCTGTACCTCCCATGCCCACCAGTTTAGTCCCAACCACTTCCAAACAGCATGATTCTGTCAGCAAACGTGGTTCTGACGATAGTTCATCGGCCGTAGTACCCATGGAAGCACCTGCACCTTCGAGCTCAGAGTCAAAGGCACCTACGGTGCAAGCACCAGAACGTTCTTCTTCCAGAGTTGTACTCTCACATCTTGCCAAACGTCCGGCACAGTTGGCCACTGCTACATCTTCACCTTCCATCCCGCCTTCTGTCATTGATCATGCTCATGACATGCGGCGAACGCTCTCGCATGCAACGAGCGCAACCGAATGTCGTCTGCTCATAGATATCTTCTTGGCTCGGGCTGGTCTGGTGGCTGACTCGTCAGAGCTTCAAGTTCTAGTCTCCGCCCCGCTAACGCCCGAATCTGCTGCAAAGGAGTCTCGGATGGAGCACGCCATTGTTGAGCTATTGCTGGGTAGCGATGGAGAGTCTTCAGACCCGCCAGTCCAGTCTGAACCATAATCCACGCAGGCCTCATACCTGTTTCATGATTCAAAGTCACTATGGATACACCCTAATGATACCCAACTCTCCTTCACTCGATCTTCCATGTAGATCTAACAACTACTCATTCCTATTGACTCTCGTTCTCGTTATTAGTGTCAGCGAGCTGACAGTCGGCCTTTTGTTCCCTTGGTATCCATAGCCTAATGTTATTAACGATGGTCTATGTATGGTTTTCGAGTCACGAAAGCGACAATAAAAATATTGATCTGAGCACTGAATGGGTGACAAGTGTTTTCATCGTACTTCCAATGAAACGGCAATGCCCATGGCGGCCAGCTCGGCACAAAGATAGCGGAACACGTAGGGGACCGCCACAACATCGAGATCGCCACCTTTTGATGAACTGCGCAGCACGTTCGATGACGGTATAGCCACCATCACGCCTGGCAACGGACTTCGATCGGGATTTTGTCCCGTAGTCAAAGCCTGGCGAGCTCGTTCTTCATCGTCCTCGGCAGCCGCGCGACACACTCTGCAGTATTCTCCACCTGGACCAGTTGCTTTTATCGTGCCAGTAGATGACTCGCCCAAGCTTATATCATCGTAACCAAGGGATATGAGACTGCCACAGGTCCGGCAGACCCATGTAGTGGAGTAATCTGAACAATTCATTAACCGGTCCTGGAGAAGGAACGACGTCCCATGAGCAATCAGAGCGTCGCGTTCCATCTCCCCAAATCGGATGCCACCAGCACGTTTGCGGCCCTGTTCAGGTGATTAGCAGACAGGCAGGACCATATATGACGACTTCCCTACCTTGACTGGCTGACGTGTCACGGGGTCAACCGGGCCAGTGGTTCTGACCTGGAATTTGTCTAAAACCATATGCCGCAGACGTTGGTAGTAAACAACGCCGATGTAGATATCCGCGGCGAACTCTTGCCCAGTGATGCCCGAGTACATGGGCTCGTTACCGTAGTAATTATAGCCAGCTGCTAATAGCTGTTCGCCAAAGTAGTCAATCGCTCTGTCTTCTTCAGAGAACCTAGATGCCATTAGCTGGCGTTGTCAACAGGAGCAGTGGTGATTTACTGAAAAGGAGTCGCATCTTGTGCCAGTCCATGCATAGCACCAGCCTTGCCAGCCATGCTCTCCACTAACATGCCGATGGTCATACGACTTGGGAACGCATGTGGATTGATGATGACATCAGGTTGCATTCCGCTCTCCGAGAAGGGCATGTCAACAGTGGGCCATTTTTGTGAACATACACCCTTCTGACCATGACGAGATGAAAATTTATCTCCGATTACGGGAGAACGAGTTATGCGGAAAGTAATATGCAATTTTTGCAGCTCCGTGTCCCCAGTATCACCACCTTGAATTCCGTCAGCAGCTACCCGGATGAGGGCGAAGACCATACCTAACATGCGGATTTCATGCACGATTCCTTGCTCATCGCCCTTGTACTTGACGAACCTCGTGCGCCCAGTAGTCTCATCGATGTAAGCGGCTATAGGATCCCCAGAATCCAATTTGGTCCCAATGAACGGCAGGCCATCTTTATCCAAAAATTGACAACAAGCATGCTGTTCATTGCCTTCAGCTGTTCGAACATCATGACCAAGACCAAAATGCAATGTAGGGGATGCTGATGATTTGGTGGCCC